GTTGAGGGAGCTGGGCTTCTTTAGCTTGGAGAAGAGAAGGCTGTGGAGAGATCTCGTGGTCTTTCAGTACTTAAAGGGAGTTTACAAGCAGGAGGGTGACCAACTTTTTGCACCATCTGTTAGTGATAGATAAGCAGGAACGGCTTTAAAATATGAGGGTAGATTTAGGCTAAGCATTATGCAGAGATTTTTTACTCAGAGGGTGGTGAGGCAGTGGAACAGGTTGCCCAGAGAGGTTGTGGATGCCCAGTCTCTGGAAGCCTTCAAGGCCAGGTCGAATGGGATCCTGGGCAGCTTGATCTGGTGGTTGACAACCCTGCCCATGGCAGGAGTGTTGGAACTAGATGGTCTTTAAGGATCTCTTCAACTTGAGCCATTCTATTGTTCTATGTTATAATTCTATGAAAGATCATTTCAGACCCTGAGGTCTACACCCAGTCTGGGAGCAGCAGGTGAGGAACAAGGCAAAGAAGAAAATCCCAGTGCTTTCACACCCTACTGGAGCCCCAGGAGCCAGGCAGTCCTGGTCTCTCCAGGGAGAGATGGCATAAGCAAAGCCCTTCATTCGGAATTACACTACAGAATTATAAAGGCCAAAAATATTTACCTCTGAGTGGGATTATTAAACAGCCCTCGGCTCAACAAAAAGGTACACAAGAAGTGAGGTATCTAACATCAATGCTGAGAGAACACGTTAATCCATGTGCTTATGTACATGACCCTCAACAGATTGTTATCTGTGTAACTTCCATTACTTAAAGAGAGTTCTCTGCTCTTTCCTGATGACTGCACTATATCCTCTGAGTAATCTAACCTTTTAAGTTGCTTTTTAACCAGAATTGTTTCTATTTAAAATGATGTTATTCTACAACTTCTTGGTACAATTTGTAGTAATTTATAATACATTCCTTCCTGACCCTATATGAATTGTCAGATTTTTCTTGGCATTGTGATGCTAAGCCAAAATTCAGCCCCAGCCTGCAGGACTCTGGACACTGACAATGTCTATCTGTTTGTCCATTTTCCCCAGGCTCCCAGGACAGAGCCCTCTAGGCCTTGTAACCCCTGGCATTGCCAAGCTCTTCTCTCTGCCCTTCTTCTGCTTTCATCCATGGAGTCTCCAAGCTGGAAAGTTGCCTGCTGCTTCCTTCTGTATGTTCACCAAATGAAAAATTAGTATCTGTCAAAGCATCAACAAGCTAATTGCAGTACTCACTGACTGTATCAGACTGTCTGTCATGGTCTGTCTCTGAGGTTCCCCTAGGCTTTGAAACAAACGCACTGTTTCGTAGAGAGTTTTGGGGCAATGAGCAGTGCCAACCAGCAGCAAGCAGGCTGCTCCCAGCTGCAAAGGGGAATTCTCTGTGCTGGTCAGGAGTTTTCACTGTGAGGCATGCGGAGGAGCTGCTTTTCTCTCTGTAGAGCCATCTTCACAGTGTGTTGAAAAACTCTCCTACTGGACTCCCTGCTCCTGTTTAGCTGCTGGCTTGACGTTTCCTTTGAAAAAGCAGCTCTCTGTCTTCAATCTCTGACATACGGCTTGCCTAACTTTGTATCTGACTGCATCTGCAGAGACAGTTTTTAGTGATTCTATGTCTCTCTGCACTTTTGATTGGCCGCTTTTACAGTATGTAGGAGTGGCACAGAAGTTAATTATCCAGGAGAAATTGTTTCCGCTAAGCTCAGGCTTTAGTTGCTGATTTCCCTTTCTCTGACATTCTGGCATGGCTTTCTTTTTACATATTAGTGTCAGAATGTCTTGCTTCTGGAGACCAGAGACCAGACATTCAGTTCAGACCACCCCCTCCTGCATCCTTGCTGATGGTCCCTACTTGTGTGGTCCAAACAGTGTAGATATCTGGGAAAATGTGAAGTGTCTGTGGAGGATTATTTCCTTCATCTGCTTCTTGCTGTTATTCCCACAGACACAGGCAAGAGGCAAGGCTGCCTGTGACTGTGCCCAGAAGGGCCAGAGCCCTGGCTGTTGCCTGGCACAGGGCAGCTAAGCCCTCTGGCTGTGCCTGTGCATGGGCAGCAGTGCACTTGGCATGGCAATGCAGCACCTTCCCTGTCTCCAGGGAGGATGCTTCTTAGGAGAGCAGTTGAGCATCGCTCCAGCATAGCTGGGAAGTTGTTCAAGTTACTGAAACCCTCTGGGACACAGTGAGATCTTGCTCACGCAAGCAGGAGCAAATCTTTTCTTGTAAAGGGTGGGTGCTTCGTGAGACAATGTACAGTCTGGTCTGGAAAACACCAAAATTAGTCCATCAGGCATGGGACACAAGAAACACTGGAAGAAGTTTCTTGTTGCCAGCTGTGTATTCTGGATCTTAAGAGGAGTGACAAGGAGAAAAGCAGATTGTTTCAAAAGGCTGCACATAGCCCCAAATAATGTCCCCACTGGATGTGTGTGTGTCCCACTAACCTTCTGTGCTGGTGATAGCAATCCAAATAGGCAGACATGGACAGGAACAGAAACACTAAATTAAAAGACAAAGGACAGTGAGTCCTTTGACCTCTTTGAGATAAGGCAGTGATGCAGTGTCTCAGGGATTTACTTGGTGATGAAATTGCAGTGTTGATGTGTGCCTTGTGAAGCAGATCCTACACAGGGTTAGATGTTTCTTTATCAATCAATCAATTAAAAAATCAATACTGATATTTTTTTAATAAATAAACCAAGTGGGTCTCAGGATTGCCAGTAAGTAGGTATGAATTTTGACTTAATGGCAATAGTAAATCAAATTATTATGAAAACACAGTTGTACTCACATCAAGTTTTGTCTTGCCTCAGCCTTTGTTCTGCTTGCTCTCTGAATGAACACCAATACATCACCCAAGTGCCCTTGGCCAGTGGCCCAGCTCCACACCCTGGTGCCTTGGCCGATCACCAGAGTGCTGTGTGGGCGACCAACCCTGAAACCACAGAAGCAGTAAAAAGTGCAAGTCCACAGGTGGGATTGTGTTTGTGCTTGGGAATCTGCTCTAGCTAGTAATCCCCTGGGAACAACTTTATCTCCTGAAGAGGTGACTAATATTGCCATTTAGAATAACTGACACTGGCTGTCATATTTTAACAGCTAAATGTGCAAGTCTTTGCATTAGGATGAGGAAATGGGTGTTTGAGGAGGCAGTGGATGTATTTCAATGTTTGCAGAGGTTTGCTTCACTGAGTGTGGATTCGTAGGAGAAGCACTCCTTTAGTTTTCTGCCAGTCCCACAGTTGCAAACACAATCCACAGACCTGCTTCTGGCAAGGTATCTCTCTCCTGATGTCCTCTTGCCTGCGCTTGCCTGCTCCTTCTGCCCAGCACTTATCTCCCTGGAACAGGTCAGCCAGACTCACTATCTCCTCCTGCCTCAGCCTGCAGCCTTTCTAGTGCCTCATTCTGCTTACAAGTGGCCTGAGCTCCATGTTTTGCCTGCATGGCACACAAGTGTTAGCTGTGGTTTGCTGGCTGGGACGCTGCCTTGCTGCTCAGCACCTCAGTGGGATCACCTTCAGCCTGTTTTTTGTTTTAGCCCTCACAAATGGAGTCCTCTGCTTTCTGCTGCTGACACTGGGCAGTGCCAGCTTTACAGCAGTAGGATCAGCTGCGTTTTGCCAAACACATTGCAGCTTCCTTGTTCTCTCTTGCTAGTGAAGTGAACAGCCAATAACTGTGACTCATGATGGCTTTCTAAAAACCACAGGTTTATTATTCATCATTAGTTGTAACCATTTGTGGTAGAAAAGGTGATGACTTTTGAAGGGAGGTGAAAGGTGACTAAATGTTTCTATTGTTGTTGGTCTCGGTTCTGCTCCGCTCTGCTCTCAGTGGTTTCATCTCAGCCAGGAAGCAATAGCTCTGCAGTTTTGATGGGCACCAAGGAGGCCAGTTCCTCCTCAGGGGTGACCATGGCTCTTACACGAGCTTTATCACTCTGTCCCTTCTTTCATGCATGCAGGGAGTGGGAAACAAAGGGAGTATGTGGTGGCCACCTCTGCAGTTCATGCAGTAATGTGGCTCAAACATAAGATGTAGTATCAGTGGAGATCGCTTTAATATCATAGCATTGTCAGTAATCTCTGGCTGATGACTGTATTCTGTGTAAGGGTTCTTGTGAAACGGCCAATGAGAGACAGACCATGAAGTCCCCGTTAGTTGGGGCAGCAGAGCCCTGTCTCTCCAGAGCCATGGATTTTCTCCAGATACTTCCAGATCCTACCACAGGTAATTTTGAGGGATGAGTCAAAACCTCAGTGCACTAATCTGGTCGGTCAGATTTGTAAGATGTAACATAAGCACCATCTGCAAGCTGCTACAGAAACTTAACAACCCAATAGCAAAAAATTAATGTTCATCTATGCAAGAGACGTTGAGCTTTGTGGAGACAGGGATCGCAAGACTGAAGCTGATGATATAGAAAACATAGAAACTTGGTGAGTTAATCTCACAAGTCATTAAGCTCTGGAATTGAATTGTTTCAGCCTTTATTTCAAGACAAGTGTGTGTTCATGTATATATAGGTCAGTGTAGGTCAGCTTCAACATGCAGGGTGTGAAATGCCCTCTCCTGCTCTGAACAGGAAGGTTGATCCTTTCTGAGGGACAGATCTGTTAGCATTGAGGCTTAGTCTCTCAGTTGGTGTAGCACCCTGCAGGCACCCTGCAGGCACAAGCCAGCCTGCAGCTCAGTCCTGATGGAAGAAGCTGCTTCTCAGCACTCAGTGGAGTCACTGCTTCAGCCACGGAGGTTACCTCCACGGAACTGAGGAGGTGTGTGTGTAAAAGGTGCCAGAAATAGTATAATGCGCATGGAAATGCTCACCAAAGTCTGGAGGATTTCTGAAGCTGCCTTTGACACCTGTGTCTGCAGAGGTGGTTGCTGAGGAGTTGATCAGAGCAGGAAAGCTCTGTGGCATGGGGAAAATCTGCAAGTGGAGTTTGGTTCTGACAACCTGAAGTTGCAACCCTTCCCTTTGGATGTTTCTAAGAAATAACATTCTCATGCCTATAGTATAAATATATAAATACCTTTAATAATAGACTTTGGAGCGTACAGTCAGCGAGGAGATGCCAAAATGTTGCTGGGGTTCACTGGAAGCCAGATGGTCAACTTGTCCTTAAAATCTGCCCTAGTTCAATCAGAAATGCCACAGCTGCCTGCTGTGCTCAGGGCACAGACAGTGTTGTCCTCAGTAGCTGCTGTCTGCAACATGGGCCCCTGGTCCAGTGGCCAGGAACAGCCTGTCTGGATTCTGGCAGAAGCCAGGCAGGGTACGTATGGGTGCACAGATATGTCATGGAAGTTGGGTTGTGAACCTCTTTGTGGTGCATACCTTCATAGCAAGACTCTTCGGACCTATCCGGTCCTCCCTGAGGAGATGCGCAGACCTTCAGGTTCCACTTGGTCCGTCAGAGAGAAGTTACCAAGGGCCTTCATGCTTCTTCCCAAACTTCATGTACCTGGATCACTTTTGGGTTGAGCCATTCTCTGTGTGTGTTTTTGAGGGAGATTCTCCTTCAGACTAACACCTCTGAGACCTGGCATCAAGATGTAAACATCCTACCTGACACATGGCTCAGGATCAATACTCTGCAGACAGCTGGGATGGCCTGCGAGCCTTCTCTCTCATAGCTGCTCCTACAGATCCCAAGGTAGCTGCAGGACCTTCCTGCAGTCCAGTTGAGTCCTGTTAGCTTCTTTTGGAAGCCCACCTTCCCTTTATGGCCTTTACCTGCCAGAGAGCATTTACCCAGTTCTCTGCAAAGGCAGTATCTTCCTGGCATATCTTCCTGGTTTAGCACTTTATTTTAGCAAATATACAGCGCGTTTGTATTATATACAGGTACTGCCAAGTGACTAGAGACACCCAGGGTTTCTCTGAATACGAATGAAGCTCGGATACATTTCTTTGGCGTTCATCTCTGTTGTCCTCAATGGCTTCACACACCCCTTTGTTGAGTGTTAGAAGGATCCATCCTAGCTGCGTAGAGCTCCAAAGAGATGCGTGCGCTATATGAAGCCTGTTTGCATTGTGATTTATCTGCACCCCAGCTGAGGCTTTCCACAGCCCCAAGGAGGGAGTCTGCCTGTACAAGTACAGCCTGGGGAACAAGCCTCCTACGTTCAAATGGATCAGTAGGAAAAGCTGTACTTTATGTGTTATGTTTCATGCCATCACCTATGAGTTGCAAAAAATGGGATTTAGTAGAACAAGGCTAAATGTCAAATGCTGGATTGTGGCGTTCGAGCTGGTTGACAGGATGATGTTATTTTCAGCAAACAAGTAGAGTATCGTGATGAGATCTACCGCGTTGCTGCTGTTCTGGACATCTCGCTCCCAGAGGGGTGGGGCATTCTTGTTTTCTGTATTCTGCATCATCAGCTTCAGTGAGCCCTTCTCCAGGTCAGGAGAAAGAACACCCTTCAGGGACACCACGTAGAGGCCATCACAGGGGATCACGATGGAGCCATTTATGACAGGAATGGAGGTAAATTCAGCACTGAGATTCATGGCCACTCCTGCAATGCTTTGGCCTGGAACAGAAGAGAGAAAAGATGATCCTATTAAGACAAATATATTCTTGATAGAAGGCAGTTTTGTACAGACTACCTGCAGGTAGGGTGGAAAAACATAGGAAAGGAAGAGACTGAAGTAGAGAATGGTGCAGACTGGAGCTAGGTTATCATCTGTGCTAGACATACTTGATGTGCAGTGAAAGTTTTCAAGTTCCCATTCCTGAGCATGCTGCACCTTTTGGACTGCAGCTCCAGTTTGTATGAATAATTTCCCCAGGTTTCTGCTTATATATTATTTATTTACTCTATTAATTAAGACATAGAAGTAAAGCATTCCTATGAGTTTAGGAAGTATGGATTCCTCAGAGAAACAGAAAATAAAAGCATCATATAAGAGGAGGGGAAAGTTATCCAAGCTGGAAGGAAGGGAAAAAGAGCTTTCTCTGGAGATGTGGGTAAAAAAATCCCTGCCTTTGTTCTTGGATCCTTTTGGAGAAAGCAGGATGAAAGAGCAGTGTAGACAGAAACAGAAAGAATAAATGAACACAGAGCAGAATCTGGAGAAATTAAAACTTTTCTATGAAAGGTTTTCTCTGGGAACGATCAGTGTCAATTCCCAGAGCTATGCTAGAAATGTTCTCCTGCTGTGCTGTGCACCACACAGGGGAGGCTGATGAAAAATCATCGTCATCAGGTCTCTGTCTGCACAACACAGCCCCGTTCTGCAGCGGGCAGACTTCCCAAGCTTTTTCTCTAACATGGCTTCCTGTTAGGTTAGGCTGTCGGCCACCATTGTAATATTCACCAAATGCGCAAACAACGTTTTAATTGTGACTTGAAAATTTGAGTTGTTGCTCCTTTTGCTGAGGTGTGGCATGGGGCAAAGCATGCAAAGTACACAGTGCGCTGAGCGCTGCTGTTTCTGCCACCATGTGTATGTTCATTTTTCTCCAGGAAATCATTTGCATTTTTCATAAATCAGGAAATCATTTACTTGTTTCAGAAATACCCCAAGAGGGTACTGTGTGTGCTCAGTAAATTCTCAAAAACACATGTTTTCACAGAATCACAGAATGGCCGGGGTTGGAAAGGACCTCAAGGATCATGGAGCTCCAACCCCCCTGCCACATGCAGGGCCACCAGCCTCCCCATTTCATACTAGACCAGGTTGCCCAGGGACCCTATCCAACCTGGCCTTGAACACCTCCAGGGATGGGGCATCCACAACCTCTCTGGGCAGCTGTTCCAGCACCTCACCACTGCCATGGTAAAGAACTTCCCCCTGACATCCAATCTAAATCTTCCCTGCCTCAACTTAAAACCATTTCCCCTCATCCTGCAGTTATCTACCCTTTCAAAGAGTTGACTCCCCTTGTTTGTAGGCTCCCTTTAGGTACTGAAAGGCTGCAATGAGGTCACCCCGCAGCCTTCTTTTCTCCAGGCTGAACAAGCCCAGCTCCCTCAGCCTGTCTTTGCAGGGGAGCTGCTCCAGTCCCCTGATCATCTTTGTGGCTCTCCTCTGGACCCTCTCCAACAACTCTGTCTTTCTTGTACTGGGGCTCCAGACCTGCACACAGTACTCCAGATGGGGCATCACAAGAGCAGAGTAGAGAAAGCCAATCACCTTCCTGTCCCTGCAGGCCACCCCTCTTCTGATGGAGCCCATTATACCATTTGCTTTCTGATCTGCAAGGGCACACTGCTGGCTCACGTTAAGTTTTTCATCCACCAAGACCCCCAGGTCCTTCTCTGCAGGGGCTACTCTCAAGGACTGCTCCTTCCAGTCTTTTTGTTTTGTTTTGTTCTTTAATGGAATGAATGTTTGTTTTAGTATGTAAGTATGGACAGCAGAAAGCTGCTCCAATTTCTTGTGTTTCAGCCCGTAGAGGAAAAGCTCATTGATTAGTTTTGTACATTGTGGCTCTATTCCTCTTTCCTCTGCTCTCCTGGCCTTGTCCTCCACCAACACCACAGCACCAGGCACTTGGGCTACCAGAGCCCCCAGACACCATGGGGATCCATTTGGGAACTGGGACAAGTGCCCCAGAGCACCAGGAGACCCCTGGCTGGCTGCCCACCCACCTGTGTACCGGATGAAGGTCCACTTGACTTTGTCACTGTGAGGCTGAAAAAATAAGAAGAGAAAAAAATCTATGTTAATGCCCCTGGGTCCCATTGCTTCTGCCAGTTTTGCTTTCATTTCTGTTCTGGGAACAGGACGCTGCTAGCCAGCTATGCACCTTGCTTGCTCATACTGGCATTATTATAAAGTAAAACTTTAGAGTAATTCCCAGCCAATCCAACCTTCATCCAGCAGCTGAGCACACCAGGGACATATGGTCCTGCCATGGAAAAACATCCTGGTGAGCATGATCAAGGCAGACCAAGCAGGAAGGACCGTGGGGTGCAGAACCTCTCTGCATGGCTGCTTGAGTGCAACTGGCAGCTGGGGATGCCTGCCCACAGAGCTGGATGTGCCCTGTCTGTCACCCTCGTGCTGCAGGGCACCAAAAGGTGGCTCTGGCTTTGTAGGCTCAGAACAAGTGCTCTTGGTGCATTCTCTGCACTCCAGGTCAGGCTGTCACAGGATGCAGTGCTCCCAGTGGCTCCCTTAGAAGTGCATTAAGGCATGTTTAAAATCGGTTTGCATTTTACATGTATAACAGAAAAAGTGAATGCAAATAGAGAAGTGGGCATTTTAATGATCAGATATGCAAAGCACCAAGCTGCTGCATTAGATTTTTTTTAAATCTGAACTTAACATCTCTAACACATCTCTCATTGTAACCACAGGAGGCCCAAATCTGCAGTGTCTTCACAACCACAATTCTTCAATATCTTGCCTGACTTAAGAGTGACAGATTAAGCTGGCTGCTGTGTTTTTTTCTCTGCCTACGCCATGGGTTTTCAAAGATGTGTCAACACGCATCTGACCAGCTATCTTTTATATTTTTTACCCCATCAGTTACAGAAACAGCAGCAGTCTCCTCACTGTGAGCACGTAAATAGTGTTGGAAGTAGCAGACTCGAGGGTGAGCACAGACAGACACGCTGACCCGTGGATCCAGTGCTGCACCCTGGCAGAAGCAAGAGGGCAGGGAAGGTGTTTAGAGTGGCAGCCTGCTGTGCTGTATGTGCTGAAGTGTGAAGAGGGTGCTGGCAGTGGGAAAGGTCTGCTCTGGCACCCTCTAGTGCTGTTACAGCTGATGTAGTGCTTGAGAGGCTGGATGCAACTACCGAAGACAAGCTTTTATTGTGTCATTGCTATCTGGTGCCAGATAGAACATTACTGATCCTATCCATCACTGCAGTGGCTTGAGGCTACACTTATTATGTTTCTAGGTGCCCAAATGTACAAGCATCTCACCCTTTGACTCAAGCAGCTGAAATTTCCAGGTAGTTTCCCAACAAAATAGCTAAGTGCAGAACTGCTGAGCTTCTGAGGTCGTGCAACATCCATTGCGAGCTGTCCAGTCTGGCTGTCAGTGGACAGGGTCTGATAAAACACGTGTTTGGGACGAGCTTGTAGCAGTTCTAAAAAATCAGCCCCACTGTCACTAAGGCTCTTTACATGTTTGGTATATCTTTGGTGAAGTCTTGAAGGACTTCATTATCAACTAACCTAATAAATTTTAGGTGACGTGTGCACTGAAAGTGAGTTGTATGCCAGGATTATGACTATATCTTTCTCATCTACATTAAACCTCTGTAAAATTACTTCCCCTGCACCTTTTCCTGCTCTGTTCAAGCAAAACCATCTTGCAATAGGTCACTAGGAACTGTTGAGCTGCCAGTGCCATTTATTTTGCCTGCATTCATCACTAGGGAGTTTCACACCCTCTGACTATACCTGCAAGCAGCCTGCCCTTGGTCTTTCCCAGCTGGCTCAGCAGAAGGAGGTAATTTCAGCAGAGATGGGAAGTCACAAGCACTGCATATACACAAGTTACTATTGTTAATAGTTGCTCATTTGGAGGTCACAGCTGAGGCTTGCTCTCCTAGCCACATGGTGATACAAACCAGCTTGCTGTACATTTTTGTTAAGCATGTTCTGTTGTGCAGATTCTCTCATTCTTGAACATGTTTCGTAACATTATTTACACTGTGTTTTTGCTGAGTAGTCCAGTGGGATTTAGGGATTTGTGAGGACAATGGAAAGTAATCAAACATGGTCTTTCTATGAAAAAGCACAGCTACTATCTAACTATTACAATTAGCATGGCACTGTCCTGCTATGGAGCTTCCCAAGAGCAGGAACAGCCTCTTGGTCACTGCCAGGCCCCAGCTCTCTGGGCCTGCCACCCAGATGGTGCTGTGCCCTCCCTCCCAAGTCTGTCTCCCTGAACTGCCCCCAGAGTCAGGTCTGATTAGCACTGCTCCCTCTGCTTTTTTAAGGTGAGTCCATGGTTATCCTACAAAGCCCTGTAATTCTCATGCGATAAAAGCCCCCCAGGGTATAGCCCATGAGACCTCTCCCACACAGCATGCCCTGTCAAACAGAGCACTTGGTGCTTAAAATAGTGGGAACAGGTTTTGAGCTTGCACTTAGCAAGTGTTTAAAGCTGGAGGAGTCCTTCCTGATGACTCCCAGGGCCTCGGCTTTTCATCTGCAGCGGCTGCTGGTCCTTGAGCACCGTTTCAGTCATTTCTATTGAGGAGGGAAACTCCAGGCCTGCATGTCCTCTCCTCATCAGCTTCTGTCTAGGATTTGTAAGGCTGACAGGCTGCGCTGCCATCTTTCTCAGGTGGCAGAAGACTCGAGTTTACATTTTTACAGAGCAGAGAACTCCTGAGAGTTGAGGGCTTGCAACCAGAGTGGGACCCTAGAGAGATTTCTGTGTTTCATAGACTCATAGAATTGTTTGAGTTGGAAGGAATCTTTAAAGGTCATCAAGCTCCAATCCCCTGCACTGAACATACAGCTCCATTAGGCGCTGAGAGCCCCATCCAGCCTGACCTTTAATATTTCCATGGATGGAGCGCCCCCCTTTTCTCTGTGCAGCCTGTGCCTGAACCTCACTGCCCTTATCACCACCCTTATTCAAGCAGGGCACCACAGCTTCCCCGTCTCCATTGGCTTTAAATGCAACTTCTCTCAAAAAAAAAACCCCAACATAGTAGAAGACTGAACTGAATGAAATGTGTTATCTCTTAGTGTTATCAGTGACATCACTGTAAAATTTAACAACTGCTGTGAGGTACAGGACAGTGAAATTTGCTCAGAGCATGAGTGTTTTCATTGCACAGCAAAGCACCTAGAACATCAGGCCGTCTCTCCCTTGCAGTGTCATATGCCTGGCTTGCTTCTCTGTCATGTCTAAGTGAGAGGACAGAATGAACTCTGGTAACATGAAGCACAACACACTTCAAAGTAATCACTGCTCCTGGAGAAGATGTGGGAGGGGTAGCTAGTGCATAAGCAGCACTGAAATAGCAGTGAAATCTTGTTGATAATCCACTAGTCTGCAATCGTGTGAAAGAGGAAAATGTACTTGCTGCAGGTTTACTAAAAGTTTACAAATCTCAAGCATCTCAGTTAGGCATATTGTCTGCAGTATGTAAATGAAACCCTCTGGTCTCATATTCAGCATCTTTCTCTCATGTAGACACACACAGGCTTGAACCGTCCTCTGCAAATACAGATGGCTGTTCCCAAAGCCCAGTGTGCATGCAGCCTGGGAGCACTGTAGGGTTTCCAGATTCTTGCTAGAGCTGTCACAGGCTAGCTTGCATTCTGACATATCTACCTGCATATATAGTGTATTTTAAAATTCAGGAGAAGTTTATAAGCTACCTGGTTTCTGGTCCTTCATTTTGCACTTAATAAAAGTAATTCTCCACTCAGACAATCTCAATTAAAAGAGCATACACAAGTCACTGCAAGTCAGCTCACTAGCAGCTGATGAGGTGGTGGGGCTGGAGTCGTGGGGGGACAGACCTCTTCCAAGGGTGCTGCTGCACAGTGCATTCCTGGAACCATCCCACTTCTTGACAGCTTGTCCCCCAGCCCTGTAGTTGGTGACACGGGGCACTATTGTGAGGACAAGAGGTATAAGAAAGGTGTGAGAATTATTAGGAATGCATCAGAACCTTACGGCTAGAATAGGGATAAACCTTTGTCGTTGCTAACGAAACCCCATACTAAGTTCTACAGGCCAGAAGACAGTGGGTTGAACAAGAGCTCTTACCGTCCAGAGTTGCAGAGAATCTGTACCAAGGTAAATCAAGCAGGCAAGCAGTAATATCCACTGAGTGGCTGCAGACATGAGGTACAGCGTGTTCCTCTTAGCCTGTCCTTTTTGCCAGCCCTTCCACTCATCATCACTCATGATGCCAGCAGGCTCCTTTTCACAGTCCTTCTGATCGTTGTGCTTTCTCAATTCCGTATCTGACTGTTCTTCCATCTCTGCCAGCAGGGCAGGGACGAGGAGCACAGGAGGGCCTGTGGAGCACAAAGCGGATGAGATAGGTGCTCCTGCCCCAGGAGCAGAAATGAAATGAACACGCTGCCTTCAGGAGAGGGTTTTATGTGCACAGAGGCAGGCAGGGGAACTTCTTTGTGACTAATCTGAATTTCCCCTTCCTTCTTTCTTTCTTTCTGTCTTTTCTTTATTCTTTTTTTTTTTTTTTTTTTTTTTTTTTTGGTGAATGTGGGGGCTGGTTTGTTGCATCCCAGTTCAGTTTTGAGTAAGGGCCTTTGAATGTAGATGTGTTTATGTGTTTATGTCTTTCATAGTTTCAGCTGTGGATCTCTTGATATGTGATGTTTCCAATGGTAGCTAAGAGTTGGATGGACACTGATCTCTCTGAGCAGTCTTTTGACAGTAAAAGCTCTCATCTTTCTGTTCAGCTGCAGGTTGGGGGTTTACAGAGCACTGGCTGCCTGCCTGGTTTGTAGAGTATGATGCTGCTGAAATCTCTTTTCTGTAAAGAAGTAATTAATAGGAGGGAATATCAGACAAATGGAAGTCATGAAGAATTGGAGACAAAATATGTCCTTTCCATTTCTCTTCACCTTTGTCTTCTACCTTTAAGGCCATGGGATGCTGCATGAAACTTATGAGAGAGAAAATGGAGAACTGCTCATGGAGCATCCCTTGTTGCACTCATTGAAACCTCCACCCTGCCCCTACAAGTGGGCCATCAGGCTTCCCTCCTGGAAGATCACTGCCTTTTGGGACACTGAAAACTTGAAATGCAAATCCAGTTTTTCCTATCTGTCCAAGGGCCTGTATTACATGTTCCTCTGCCGCCTCTCCTCCCAACACTCCCCCTTTGCTTAGTCTTCTTGTGACACTCGCATGTGATGTGTGAGTTGATACATGTCAGCTGTCTGCAGCAAGGGCCATCTCCTGCGCATGTTTTGGGTGACAAGATGCAAAGCCTCTTTGGAGGCTGTCCACCACTGCTTTCTGTCACTCTTTCAGACAGATTTTTTTTGTTGTAAATCAGCATATCGTGACTAGAGTCAGGTGCTACCTTCTCCCAGTGAGGATCAGGCCCATTGGGAGTGTTATAATGCATTCATCTGTCAGGTATGAGCTGTCAGAAGTTTCCCTTCCCCAAAATGTTCTCTCTTAACTTGTCAACTTGTCACAAGGCACATGTCCTGACAAACATGTACTCTGCATGCAGAGAAAGCAAGAATAAAGTTTTTTTTCATATGTTTTTTTTCCATTTAAGCAAGGATATTTCTTATAAACATGAATTGAACAAAGGATGGAGTGCAGCACTTGGGTGAACAAACTTCTATGAGGACACACAGCTCCTCAGTACATTTATTCCTGAGAAATAAACTCAGTTGGCAAAAGCTGGTAGATTGAGTCAGGAATACACTGGTATTTGACTTAAGAGCAGGCCAGAAGTCATGAAAACTTACTGAAAAAATGCTCAATTTTAAAATTTTCTGTTACTTCTTGGGTGCGTGGGAATTTCTGTCCCACTTCTGCCAGCAGCTGCTCACTGGGGCATGCTCAAGCCCCACGCTGAACCCCAGCTCACCGAGAGGTCCAGGAACAGCCCTAACCCTCTTTCCTTGTCCCAGATATGACTGATGCCATGGTGAGGGGAAGTGATGCTGCCTCTGAGAAGTTCCCTCTGACCTAGATGGCATTGCTCCCAGCACTGAGCTCAGGTTTAGCCAAGACGTGAAGAGGAGCAAGGCAACACTCTGTGGTGCTGCAGAGGCCCACTGAAGCTGTGGGGACACGGAGAGGGAGGTTGTTTGTTCCTGCAAGTCTGCAACATCCTATCTCATCTACCTGCTTCCATGAAAGGTCCCCAGGAAACAGGCTTCATGTTTCCAGCCACGGTGTCCATCCATAACAGGCTTAGTGAAGAGATTTATTAATCTTAGTGTGTCTTCAGAATAGCTTTCCAGTGGGGAAAAAAATCTACCTCTGGGTCCTTCCCCATGACACTATTTTCAGCCAGCTGCAGCTCCTGGCCGTGGCGGCCAGAAAGCTGGGACCAGGCTCTACTGATGCCACAGGAATAGCAAGACATGCTGAGAGTCTGTCTGGGCTGCAAACATCTGCACCTCCTTGTGCCCTGAGGTGCCTGCTTTGGGCACGGCTCAGGGCAGGTGCCCATCACTCGCAGTCCCCATGGCAGAAGCAGGGGAGGAGCACTGTGAGGCAGGCTTGTCCAAAACCTGTGCTCCTACCTGTAGCGAGAGCCATCAGCAAGGGGCTGCAGAGGCAATCAGCACAGATCTGGTATAGCCTGCCAGTGAGCCTGGCAGTGGTTCACTGGGGAATCACTGAAAGAGAGAGTAATCTTTACACCACATCTGCCTTCCTGGAAGAGTAGGCACTGCCATGTACCAGAGTAGCTCTGCCAGATGCAGCAGCCCGCTCTCTCCTATTGGCCCTCCAAGGAAGGAAACTGTTTCACAGTTGCTGCTTGGTTTCTACAAAAATACTGGAGATGCTAAGACATTCCAAACCAGCGTGACCCCATAATGCTCACATTCTTTTATGTGCCTTTGATCCAGACACAATGTCTCACTCATCTCCCTTCCCCACTTTGGATATTGCACTGGTTTTGCTTCTAAAAGAATGTACCCTGAAAATGTGGGTGGAGGTTGTGCATATGTATTTCTGAAATTGCTCTGTCATTTCTGTACTCCCCCAGTGCAAGTGTTGCTTTGCCTGGGTTAATGACACAGGCGGCACTGAGGATCGAAAGCTGCATTTCAAGTAATGTATCTGGCATTGTGTCCGAAACAGGAAAGAGGACAGCTCATTCAGTACCATCATGAACAATGATGCACAAACTACCTTCCGCGGTTTTAATTGCCTTCATCTTGTCCGCCTGCCTTGCATATTGAAACCCAAGTGCATGCAGGGTTGGTGGTTTCAAGTACGTGCTATGAGATCCCCTGCTTGCACTCCCACAGGAAATCTTCCTAGCTTCTGGTTTCTTTGTCATCCCAGTCATTTTCCAAAGACATGGTTCCTGCTGGTACTGACAGCAAAATTATTCCTGCCAGAACTGATGGCTAAACCTTGGCTAACGCATATTGACCACGGTTGAGGCTCAGTCCTGCAGTGTCACCCCTCTACCAGATCTTGAAGCTGCTACCCATCAGCGTCCCCATGCCATGAGGCTGCTATACTCCAGCCCGTGGGATGAAGCAAAGAGCATCCTCACCATAAACCGCAGCTCCTGGCCCATTGGGAGCATTGCACATATGTGAGGGCTCTTCTCCAAGGCCTGGGAGACCCTGCAGGCACCCTTCCCAATTCTATTCCTATTTCCTGGGAAAGTACTCTTAGAACCCCAAAAGGTGGAAACTGGGAGTTACATGGGTCAGATGAACTTCTCAGAAGAATAGAAGAACAACTGATTGAACTGTTTATAAACATCTAGAAAGAAAAAGGAAATGAGAAGCAACCAGTGTGGGTTTCCGGGAACAAAAGATAAAGTTGTCTTGTGAGGGATAAGAAAGTCTCGGGTACAGGAGTAGCTGTAGGAATTTGTGGTGTCTTTGGTAAGAAGTTTGACTCTTTTTTGTTACACTGATGATGAAAGATCTGTATGAAATCACTGCTAGACAGAAGCAGAGCAAGTTGAGTGATTATTGATGGTTTGGTGACAAAATGGAAGGACCTGTCCTAAATTCAGCACCTCTCTGCAGTTCCAGAGCTCCAAGTGTTTTGAACACAGTTGACTGTGAGCTAGGCAACACTGATGCTCCTTTTGAGGCAAGGTATCTCAGGCACTTTCTGGCTCTTCTTGGTAGTCTTTGGCTCTAGTTTAAAGGGCTGGCATCTACTTGGAGTGCAGTGCTAGCAGAGATCTGCTGTTGCTCTCGTTGGTGCCATCAGGTAGTACAACTTATACCCAGTGCTGTCCTTTCATGTGCAGTTCCTTATTGTCCACCGACAGCTATCTTTACCTTGGGGGTCTTGGCTCATGCAATCTGATGAAGCAGAATAGCAGGAAATAGCAACTGAAGACTCGTAGTTGTGCAAGAGTGTAGCAGAAATGCTAAGTCACAGCATGAAGCAGTGATTGAGCACCTGGTGGGAAGGCAGGGCCAACCCAGGGGAGCTCAGGTGCGTGCAATGAACCTGAGTGACCTGAAGGGCTGGAGCCAGGATCCACACATTCCCAGACCTCATTTAAGGGCTGGCAGTGGAGGTGAGGGTATCTTGCTGGAGATCTGTGCCTACCTGAGACTATCCAAAGGTAAGCAGTTTTTTTCTTCCTTTGTTTCTGCACCCTTAGCTGCTGCATTTAGGTTTGTTCTCCTTTGCTGTAGGGTTGTGTCACTCTGCTATTATTGCTATTCTTTCAATCGTGTTATAGCATTACAAAGAGAAAAAAGCAAAGCGTAGGACAGGCAACATTTTCTTCCAGGTCTAGCTGCTCAGCATGTGCCTTATCTAGTGCTCTTTTAATGCTTTCAGGATTAATTGAACTGAGCCAGTCCTACTTATCAAGGTAAAAGCATTTAACCCCAGAATATTGTGCACTCCTGCTTCAGTGTCTTGCAACCATATGAACTATTTTCCATGCTTTGATTTTTGTTCTCATGTGCCATTTTCATGCTCCTCACTTACAGCCACTCTTTGGCTGCTAATGCTCCAAAAATTTCTGTTAGCAGAGGCATTGGGCCAGGAGGTTGTATGATTCAGACAGTTTTTGGCAGTGAAAAGCAGAGGAGGAAATTTTGGAAACGCTGTGAAATTCATGAATCAAATCCTGGGCATCTATGGCTTGGTGCCATTAAGAGTGGAAAAGATCTCTAAGGTCATCAAGTCCAATCATCCAACCACCAATCCATGCCCGCTAATCCATGTCCCTCCATGCTGCATCTCTGTGGTTCTTGAATGTCTCCAGAGACAGTGACACCAACGCCTCACTTCAGAGCGCTGTGCCGGGATCTTTCCAAGTGAGTAGCAGGGTGAGTGGCATCACTGTAGCACCCCTGTGGTTCTACTGCTGCATGTAAACATGTTCCCCAGGACTTGCGACAAGGGTTGTTGTAATCCCTTGGTGAGGAGAAGGCTCTTTTTCAAGAGGATGGTTGCATAAGCCCAATTCCAAGAACTGGCTGCGCTAAGCACAGAAAATCCAGGCAGGATTAGGGCTTCTGATAGTGCCAGCGGGTTTTCCCAACCCTTAGGGACTCTGGTGTGCCCAGCACAGGCCATACAGCATCTGCAGCAGAGCTACATGTTTAATGGCAACATGCTACAGCCGTGTCATGGTGCTGAGCTCCCAGTGGACCACAGTGCAGTCCTGTGCAGTCTCAGAGCTGGGGGATGTCAGTATCCCCTCACCATGAGCAATGGCATGTTACAGCAGAGCTGTGAGGTTTTAAGGCCAGCTGTACCACTTTTTTACTTTTTTTTTTTCTTTTTTTTTCTTTTTTTTTTCTTTTTTTTTTTTCACCAGAAGAAACTTTCCAGGTTGACAGTGACCTTTGCCTTGAGCATTATCTCTTTCCAGTGAGCCCCTGTGGATTTTGCTACTGTCTCTGAGTGGACTTCACTCACCACGACTTCAACTGAGTGGGCAGGGGCTGAGTGTTTGCACTGGAACCTCTGAAAGGTTGAGGTGAACTTAGTCATACCAGTTTTCCTTCCTGTTCCTCAGTAAGAAATCACGCCCATAGCATTAGATTGTAAAATAACAGGAGACAAAAGTCAAATACATCTTTCTAGAGAAGAGAAACAATTGATGCCAATACTAATAAAGATAAAGCTTCCACTTAAAAACGCAGGTTCTCATGTAGGACTGCTGGGCTTGGCCAGTTTTCTCCCAGTGAAGCTTCCTGCAGGGTTGGACGCCCCAGGAAGGGATGTGCAGCCAATGATGCTCCATGTGCATCCCTGTCCTGGGAAGAGTTAAGGATGTGGCTTCTCTTGCTTATCTGTTGCTGTCTTCATCAGTCTGTCTGCTTCCCCTTATTACTCCTATGGGAGTTTTTTGTTTCTGAAATCACTCCCCTTGAAAGTTGCAGCTCCTGATTCTTCCAGTGGGGCTCTAATATTGCATTAAACAGTTGGAGAAGTGTAGGATGAATATTCCTGTCCCAGCTAAACTACTGAGAACACCCGTGTAGTGCTGTTTCCTACTTCAAGACACGAGTCCATGTGTCTTTTCACAGCTATTTTACTGGGATCAGACAGCCAGCCTTTTCTAACCAGCATACATGTAATACCATTCTATGTGCCTCTCAAGATCATTATCCAGTAGTCATAGGACTTCAGGGACTAAGTCAAAACCAGGTGTCAACAGAATTATGTTGACCACATAACGCTATCTTCATCATGTACATTATGAACTCTTTTCCCTTTTTTGTTTTCTAAGTACTGTTTTATCATTTTTAACAGTTATCAGATTAAACGTCTGCCAAAATTGTTTCCTTCGTAAACACTTCTGAAAGAGCTCTTGATTTTTTGGTTTTTTTTTTTTTTTTTTTTTTTGTTTTTTTCCATCTGGTCAGCTTAGCTCATAACTTCTGCCAGTTTATATTAGATCTGATGAACCATCTGGTGCCTATATTACTGTCTGGGACTGCCCTCTGTTTGCTCACACTGACCATCATCAGACAGCAGTCACTACTTTCTGTGCAACTACCACCTTCAGAGAGAAATTACCTTTCTTTGCCCTGAGAAGCACCTCATGCAGCCTGTCCTGCTGCTGCAGGCACATGGTGGGAGTGGGCACCAACCTTGCTCAGCCTCAGCAGGGCAGCACAACCTGCTCACTGGTGGCTTTCTCTTTTATCTTTCTCTTTTATTCTTCATTCCTTTTATTTATGAAAGATCCAATTGCCTAAATGCAGCTTGAATGGGCTGGGGAGTTTTTACCCCAACAATATCCCCATAAGGCATAATCTTTCACCTTTGGGACCGATGAAGTCTGAGCATCCAGATGTCACCCAAGATTTTAAAGCATATCTCAAGCGAATTGCACACTTGGTGTGATGTGAACCTCACAGGCACAGCAGCCAGTATTTCTCAGGTGCCATATATCTCTTGCAGAACTACACAGTGAGCAGCCCCGATGCTGCATGTTGTGCTGGGCAGGACCCCAGCTGCTTGCAGGAACATCCCACAGCTGTGGTGCATGGAGCGCCCACAGCCATCACACAGCCATGCATTTTGGTATGCACAGGGCTCCCCAAATGACTGCATGCAGCCCCTCTGCACTGTGTGTTCGGAGGGCAGTGAGACAGCAGTGAGAGCCCCAAATGAGTAAGCCTGGCCTGAGGTTTTCTCTGTATTACGCACAGCAGCCCTCGCACTCCGACGGGCTTTAACAGGGGATGGCACTGTGGTTCCCAGCCCTCATTTTGGGAGCCCACCTCATGGCTGTCACCCTTCAGCCCCCAAGCACACAGGCAGCCATAGGAGGAGTATGATGCTGCAAGACGCAAGCATGAGCTGGTACAAGCTGCCAGCCTTGTGCCATGGGTGTTTGCTGCTGACAGATGCTTCGCTTTCTCCCTCAACTGCTGCTTTCAGAGGTCCTTAAGTGAAATACAAACAGCTCTGCTAGGTTCTGGGGAGGGTTCTAAGGACACAAGAACACAGCAGGCTGTCAGGGCAGGTTCTGGGGCCTGCAGGGGCAGCTAGGAGGGAAGGAAGCAGCCACCTGAGTTTGCTTACAGAAGCACCTCTGGGAAAGCCTGCACTGAGGTTGCTTTGTGTTGGGGTTTGCCATATCCATCAGACCAAGAGAGATGAGGGTGCTGCTGCACTGACATTCTAGCATTGGCACTGAGCACGCACACAGATGCTGTATGTGCATGCACAGCATGTGCATGTATAGATGTAGTATGTGTATACATGCAATTCATGTATATGTACACAGCCATGCAGCTCAGCACATGCACAATACCCAGCCACTTGCAAACAGCACAAATGGCCTCATCCTATTCCCCTTGCTGACAAATCAGCATGAAAGCCCACAAGCAGAATATATATATATATCTGTGCAATATAGATTCCTCCAGCCACTGCTGTGCCACACACAGTGTGTGCAGCCTATCCCCTGACTCCCACACCACTTACCACAGTCACCAGCCAGCCTGGCTTGCTGTGTGCTAGCACTTGCACACACCATCATGCATCCCAGTTCCTGCAGCTGCTAGGGTTCGATGCTCCCTCCATGTACTGCTGCTTCCGCTTCCTTACATGCTCTATGCTTTGAACAGAGCTCCTCACCTGGGAGACAGCTATAAAGAGAGCTCAGTCAGAAGACATGGCACAGCCAGAGCAGCACCCCAGTGCCCTTTTTGTCCTTTTTCCCTGTTTTTTCCATGCTTGTTCCTCCCCAGACTGCACTGGTCCCTCCCTTTCTCCTTGTTCTTCCCACAGACATCCCACGATAAGCCCTACACGATCCCCAAAGGCTCTTCTTGGCATCCCATAGCAAGTCTGTGTGCCTTTGGGTAATCAAGCCTCGTGTTTTCTGGACAGACGAGAGAGTGCTGCGCTCCTCAGGGCGGACACAGGGGCCCTGGGGATATGTCAGAGTCTGATCCCAGCAGTACTCTGTTCTTCTCTGTCTGCTGCTTCTGGAACACACACACTGAACAATACATCCATTTTTTTTCAATAGCTGCAGCCTTCAGGATAGGCTCCTGCGCCGATACTGAGAGGAAAGAACGTTGAGTATTTTTACCATGAGACCACAGGAACGGTGAGTTATGACTCTGGCATTCCATGACAACTTTTTCTTGGTAAATTATCCCCTTCTTGTGTAGTGCTCAGGGATTCTGTGCTTTTTTTAAGTCCATGTGATATTTTTAGACATTCTTTTAGCGCTCTAATTTTAGTAGCTTTTGCAACATATTACTCACTCTGCAAAAGGGAAGAGTTCACTCCCCTGAGTTCTTTCCCCTGCCAACACAAACTCTCCTACTAAGGCTGGAAGAGGAGAAGAGCCCACGTTGTCTTGTTTCACAGCATTTCCTTCCCTTCCCTTTGCCCCTGCTGCCCGGAGCAGGGAAGGAGCTGCGTGTATTGTATTAACTGCTCTTTTATTAACAGCTGTCACAGCCACAAGAGCTGGGATGCGGTTGGGTCAGTGCAAAAAAAGCCAAATACACCAAGGTGATGCAGAACCCCTGACCTGTGGGCAGGCTGACCTGTGGGCAGGAGCTAGGAGTTGGTTCATGCCCATTGTGCCAAGCCAATAAGCACACAGAGTCAGAATCCCATAGAGGTCCTTTATTCTTAGCAGCCTGTGGTGCTGAGGCACGTGGACGCATTTCCTTTGAGATTTGAGGAGGAAAAGCATTTGCGCATGCCTTAACTTGCTTCAACTTGTCTGACCTGGGTATAGCACTCAGCAAAGTCCCTGCAGGGTTTGCCCATGACCGGGCTGCTTCTCCACCTCCCCAGCCTGTGCCTGCAGCTGTGCCATCTCCTCCAAACTTTGCCCAATGGAACCATCATCAGTGCTCCTTGCACTGGCCAGAGGAAGAGAAACCAGACTGCAGCTTCAGGAGGGGGGCCTGGCTGCCATGTCATGGGCATGGCTTGGAGCCAGCCCTGCCCTAGCCCTTTGCCCTGGCTTGCCCATCTGTTCAGGGCAGGAGCATCCCTCTGGGACAGGCACATGTTCTCCTTAGGGCAGCGCCAGTGACAACCACAGCGCAGGATGTCTCTCACTCACTGTCTCCCCATGACTCAACTAGGTCAACCAAAGGCAGGCGGCAGGCAAGCAAGGAGGCAGCTGTAGTGCAAGTGGGGCTTTCTCAGCTCTGATGGCTCTGGTTGATTTGGCATTTCTTCTGGCCCCAATTTGAAGATGGGAGTGATGGGAAGTCTGATCACACTTTGGTCTGCTCTTTCACACATCCTTAGGAGTTCCCTGTGTGACATATTTATGAACCATTATGAACCTGTGTGCCCAGCAGGCTGGTGCAGAGTCAGCATGGTGCAAGGGTTACCTCCAGCTGGTGTTCCCCTAGGTGGCATGGAGTGTGGAAGTACCCATGATAGGTCTTGTTGTGTCCCAGATGCCATCACACCTCAGACAGCTCACACAGCACTTTACCAAGACATGGGCACAAGACACTCCCAGCCTTTTTTTGCTAATTCCCCTGCTTATGTTTCTCCCAGCAGGATTGGCACTACAATAATAGTTATAATGGGTGAGTAGCATTTATGGTTATGCCTTATCAGTGACAACATTGCTGTCTAAAAAATCAGCGTAGGTCTGAATAGAGATGTTGGTTGCTACCGGAAAATAAAGCCCCTGTGTTTTTATGGGACACCCACACCTGGCTGTTGTGATGCATCAGCCCTTCTTGGCAGGCATTGCTTTCCTATGGTAACACTGGAGTGAGTGGGTCCATTTTAAACCCATTGTCCCCATCAGGTCAGCAGGAGAGTTGGAACTGCTGCTTCTTGATCTGCTTTGCTTCCCAGTATTTGATTTGTTGTTTGTTTGTTTGTTTGTTTTACTGCACTTATGCTGAGAAGCCAAAGTTTTTGTGGGGGGTGAGGGAAGGTAAGTGGTGGTTGAACAAAAAAATTTTTAAAAATCCCAGAGAAGTTCAGCTGATAATGCAGTGGAGTCATCTGCGTAGTGCTAGGAGAGGGCGCAGTCATGTCTCTCCAGCCAGTGATATCATCAATACCACTATGACTTGTGCAGAATATAGGTTGGAAGAAACAGAATTGCCGGTGTTGGCTGGAAACGTTCAGGTGCAGTGTGTGTCTGCAGGCAGCTGCATGGCCAAACAGCAGCCTGAGTCACACAACAGTCCCTGGCTAAGAGCTGAACTTGGGTGCTAAAACTCCCCTAGCATGTCCAGAGAGCCGTGGCACTTTCTGGCACTCCTCTAGCTACCATTTTATCCAGCGAATGAGCAGTTGAAACAAACCTTGTCATTCCTAATCGCATCACCCACCTTTGGGAAGCCCTGGTCAAGGAAGGCAGGCAGGCTGCCTGCATCTTTTCACAGTCTCATATCCAGTCCTAGGCTGCTAAAGATTAGGATCCCATCCTCAGCTAGATTCTGATGCAGAGATGTGATCTGGCCACGGGGGAGGCAGCCAAGTGATGAGGTTGGCTTTCAGTCTCGCAGGCATGGGGAAGCTGCTGGAGGCACTTGCTGTCTGGGAAGCCAGCTCCTCTGCAGCAGGTGGCTGCAGCAAGGAATCGTGTAAGCTCCCAGGAGAGCAGCGTTGCTCGCTGGTGCTTATAGTTGTGGTTACTCAGCACTGTCACATGCCCTGGTTGGTATTGAATCCAAGAGAAATTTGTTTGTTTGTCTTGGGTTTCCTGTGGGTTCTTGCATTATGAATTCCTTTGAGTTACTGGATCTTGACTTTCTCTGAGATTAGTGCTCTCATTTACTGCATGCAAGGTCCAAGAGAGGATAAACTACAGGACATGATCATGGGGAGCAGCAGCAGTAGGATGGTGATGGCTCTGTCATGCATCAACTTGATAAGGTCAGCCACATCCTCCTCATGGAGAGCAGCCAAGGTGTTCAAGGTGCAGCTGAGGTAACAGCTCCTTCCCTCACAATCCCCATGCTCCTGAAAGCAGCACTGTGTTCCCATACAAACTGTAACAATTTGGATGTTTTGAAAGGTCCTTGCCAGCGGTGAGGGACTCCAGACACACTGCTGTGTTGCAGTACTGCTTCCTGTTAGGCTTGCATGTGATTTTCTTTTCTTTAGTGCTTCACCAAGATTCTACTACCCCACTGCGAAGCACATCTCATCTGTGCAGCTGTCTTTGGGAAAAGGGCTATTAACCTCCTGTATAATTTAAAAAAAAAAAAAGAGATCTGCAAGCACAGTATCTGTAATGCACAGCACAGGGGTGTGAGATGGTGTTGTGGATTCGAGCCTGTTCTCACCATTAACCTGTCTTCTCAGGTCTGTGCCAGCACTGGGGTATGCCCCCTGCCCTTGATGTCCCCAACCCTAACCCTGCCACTGCTACCAGCTTCACGCCTGTGACGCCAATGGTTGTGACAGCAGGAAAGATGATCTTCTCCAGTCATCTGGCCTGCAGCCACGTCATCTCTTCATCAGCCTTTGGGGAGTGCTTCCCACCCTGCACATGGCTGGAGGCCGGTGTCCCTGGCCGGGGGCTGCTGCCTTGGGTCTCTGCCCCCGGTGCTCTGACTCACCAAGATGAGTCTGAAACAAAGAGCACTCATAAAATCTACAGGAAGATGTATGCAAAGATAGAGATCTCATTTACTGAGACACCACCAACTCCTCACTGGAACCAGCAAATGAAAAAGTAGCACTCTTGTGCCCAGCAAAACCCCAGACCTGCTTACTGGGTAAACTCTGAGCCAGGTAGGAGTAGGGCACAGCAGAGACATGAAGCAGTGAGCTTCAGGCTAGTGATCCCAGGAGAGAATTGGACGTGAGATGAGGTACTTCAAAAATAGAAAACTCACATCTGAAATGAGCAGAAAAACCACAGATAGGGACAGGGTGAAGATGTGGCTAAACTGCTGAGGAATTCCCCCCATGGAGTGCACCATGCATCACCGTTAGCTGCTGCCTCCCAGCCCCACACGGCCACCATGGAGCCAGGGGGAGGCTTGGGGGGATTTCTGCAGGGACTGGGGCAGCACATGGGGCAGCACATAGGGAAGCAGAGCCTCACACAGCAACCCCAACTCACAGCTCCATTTCTCCAGACTGTAAATGAGCCAGAGTACAGCATGCACCTGCTTCAGCCGCGCAGGGCAAGTGGCACTGCTATCATGTCCTGACATGCCTGAGACATGGCTCCATGCTCCGCTATCTGAAAGGGATCCTTAGCTTTCTTCCCTCCCTTGTTTCAGTTTTGAAAGCAGCAGCAGCTCCATACCACAGACGTGGCAGGAGATGCTCCTACAGTCCCCTCAGTTCCCCGGGCGAGAGGTCAGCCTGGTCCACAACTTCAGCCCAAGGCAGAGGGCAGCGTGAGGCTGAGGCCACACTTCCAGAGGGACTGGATGGTTGTTTTGAGAAAACACTGGGCAAGGGCTCATTCCAGCCCCTGCTGCAGTGCAGGCTCTGAGGGGCATCCACTGGTTTTTTTTTTTCCTCTACGGTTGTCATTGTTGGAAACCATTAAGGAATGAGCCAGCAAAGGCCCAGAAAGATTCCATGAGTAATAATCTTGGAGCTTTGCCCAGGCTTAATAACAGAATAACAAACAACAACAAGAACAAAGGGAGAGCAGGCTGTGCACCAAGAGGTCTCCCGTGGCTGCAGGATCTATGAAGTCCGTGCTTTTGGTTGAGACCATTTCTGAGACTGTGATGGACAGAAGGGTTGGGGTACCAGGAGCACACCCTTATTGCAATGCCAGCAGAGGCACCCCTAGAGCCATGCACTACCCCTGGCTCTCTGGTGCTGCCCTTGTACCTCAGGGCTGATCTGGAAGTGCCTGCAGTGCCCACAGCCCTGCAGAGCTCAGCTGAGGCCAAGCCTGAATCCAGCCCCACAGGGCGCTGTGGGAGAAGGCATGGGCCCTCACACAGGGAGCTTCAGAAAAGGGAAACGTCGTGTTATTCCACAGCACATGCAGACACACGGCTGTGGTTAAGCACCAGCTCTGAGGTATTGCTCATTTGCATCTTGTGCTACCTCAGGCGCTTTGATGTCTCACGTGAGGTTCTGGTGCCTGGGTTGCCTGGAGCTCCCGCACAGCCCAGCAGCATGGCTGTGCCTGTGCTGCCCTCCAGGCCACCTGCGGGGCTCTGTGCCCTGTTCCATCCCCATCCCTGCAGCAGCAAGTTGCACCAGCAGCAGCACAGCACCCAACAGCCTCAGTACCGCTTCCCCACTGCCAGCAAGGGATCCAGGATCAGGTGGGTGCCTGTGTCCCCTCAGGCACAGGGAAGGATGCTCCTGCCTCAGCTTATGCATTTGTGTTACTGCTGTTTGGTGAGGCACACCCCTGTGTGATCCCTGCTAGATGCCACCTACCAGCCTCTACTGTCAGAAAAGGGCCACTCTATCTCCAGAGCTTTTTGGTGCTCGCCCATCAGGTATGGGCTGCTCAGACCTGGAAGAGCCAGAGAGCTCCTGTTCAATGACAGACAGCAGCACAGGAGGGAAGATAGCATTCTGTATGTGGCACACCATCTTGTTCTCTTCAAAAGTATGAATCCATCCACCAAGCCCCTGGAGGCTGGGACTGCCCCACTGGGGTTAGTCAGTCCACAGAACCACAGTAGGGATCAGCTGGGCTGAGCAACAGAACACAGTACCTTCAGCATGACAGGGCTCTCTGTGTGTGTCTGTACTCATGCCTATACAAAGGTGTTTGTCTTTTCCTCTTCTGTTTTTTTCTAACCATGGGTGTCCTGAAGTCTAAAATAATGCAAACTGTCCCTATTATTGCCCAAGTGGAGTGAGGACAGCCCATACACGTACCTCTCTATGCTGTTTTTTTCTTGACAGCTTCAGGAACAAAGTATTAGGAACCTGCAGCACCCCACAATGCACAACCCTACTTCCACACACAGGTGAAGGGGACTGCAATATTATCATCCACTCATTCTATGCCTTCTGCCTCTCTGATGCTTTGCTGTCTTCCTTTGGGAACAAGGATGCTGAAGATAGCAGGACTACACCAGCTGTTTTGGAAACAGGATGCTCTGCTTGAGCGTCAGCAGTGCTGCCTTTGCATCAGGCAGGAGTGAAACTGAGAAACCCAAAGCAAAGGGATAATGCAGCTGCTGTGTGAACAGCTCCAGGATGCTGAGCTCAGCTGTAAGTGGGGGTGTGGGGACAGGCAGTGGCCTTGCCCTTCAAATGCGGGACAGGAAAGGGAACCATACCTCAGCAAGGCACCTCGCACAGGGACCAGGCTGCTCCATGGGGAACAGGGCCAGCCACAGGATGGATGCACACAGCTGCAACACAGGAGAAAACTAGAGGTGAGGTGCTGACAGAGGCAGCCCAGAAGAGGTGGAGGTGCCCAAGACTAGGCTGGATGGGGCCCTGGACAGCCTGATATGGTGGGAGGCAGCCAGCTCATGGCAGGGGGTTGGAACAGGGTGAGCATTAAAGTCCCTTCTAACCAAAACCATTCTGCGATCCTATAAAAGCCTACTTAAGCCCAAAAGACTTGTATCTGAACATCAACCCTGTATGTTTTAAGTGGATGAGGATGGAGAGAAAGCTGGTGGGTGAGCATTAGTCTGAAACCAAAACTTAATCTGTGACACGCTTTAAAAACAAACAAATATGACAACTTGAAACAATCTTCTGGTGAATATTTTGGAGAAAGCGAGGGCAGAGGTAAATATAAAGCAGGCTGATCTGCCTTGTGATTTCTTTCTGGTGGGAAAATAGCATTTCTAATAAGAAATGAAAGTTTCAGTGGAAAACGTCTGAAATGTTGCTTTTCCCTAAAGCAACATGAGAGTATCTGCTACCATCAGCACTTCACACTGAGAAACAAGTCCATAGTTCACAGCAACACCTACTCCCTGCTGGCTTTGCTAAATGCTGGCTGGAAGATCCACTCCTGAGACAGACACCAAGCACCCTGGGAAACTGCTGCTGTCCAGCAGACAAATGGAAAGCCCTCAAGCAGGCTTATCTACCATCAGCTGCAGCAAGGTGAAGGTGCCAGGAAGACTTCTCAGACAGGGCCAAGCCACCATGTAGGATGTAACAGTACCTTACTGCATGGCACATGGCAGGAGGCATAAGGAAGAATGAGGAAAAAAGGCCACAGCTCATACTTGGATAGGAACATGGCTGCAGCACTCTAGAGCAAGGACTGAAGGTCACCATAGGGCTGATAAAGGTTCTGGGTTGTTCCATGGCACAACCAGCAACCTTTCCTGTAGGCAAAGGTGGCCCCAGCTCTCCTTCTCTTTCTGCTTATCGAAGTGGAGTTTCAGAAGTGGCATGTCATTGCACAGAAACAGATATCTGATTCCGGGCACTTTTAAATGCAACAAAGACATAGAAAAACCCACCAACAGGAAACTGGTTTCAGCAATTCAAATGGAAACAATGCTTTAATAATAGCTAGCCCTTTATAACGTACAGCAGTCAAGGCAGTCACTGAGCTGACACTTGTCCTCTTCAGCGATGATCCCTGCAGCACCACTCAGACACCAGGCCAGAGGTGGCCAGGTGAGCCCTCGAGCACCTTCTGGCCAGCCAGCAGCAAAGAAAGGGCAGGGTGGAGGGCAATGCCTTCCAATTCTTTCAACATGCTGTACCCCTGCTGTTACAGGAAGGCCAGTGCTTCAACAAGAGACCCGGGGGCTCTTGTTGTACCACTGACACATAAACCCTTTTAGCTTACATGGCCCTCAGCTAGAACAAGCACAGGCCTCCAACACTTCACATGAGCGTCTCAGTCTATGAGTGTGAAAACCCCATCAGCCAGATGCTATCTAGAGACAAATTCATTTCCCAGCAATAAATTAATCAAAATACTGTAAAAGAGAACTTCACTTGCATGAAGCATTTCTCAGTGAAAAGATTATTCTTACAGTTAGATTCATACAGTTAAAACTCACTTCAGCCTGTTGTGAACTAGAAAAAAGGAAACCATCCAATTAGAACCTTTGACTGCAACCAAACTCAGTTCCAGGACTGCAGGTAAGTTACAGAGGCTGCTCAGGGGTGGCCAGCAGAAAGCTGCACCTTGCTTCTGACAAACAGCCTCACCTGGAGCACGAGGGATGCATAGACACACCACACAACTCCTCAAAAGATGCAAAGTCTTGAAGGAAATTGGCTTGCACTGCTCTCAACATGAACTAAGATCTCCTTGTGTCTCCCTGCCAAGGGACTGTGTTTGGACACAAGAGATGTGAGTTTCTTGCAACCTTCTTGCAGCTGTGCAAGTAAGGTGGGGATTACCAAGTAAACAACATTCCCTTGAGCCTGTGTTTATCTCAAGGTTTGGTAAATATTGGCCTTCTCAGACAGGATGGGTGCATCTACCTGATCCAGCCCCGCTCCCCTGTCCCAGGAGGAGAGCAGAACCTTTTTGTTTGGGGCTCCTGGGCATTCACAAATACAGTGATTTTTTTTTTTCCCCCCTCCCACAGATTAAAGGAAAACTAGACAGTGAGTATGATAAGAAGCTCTAGCCTATGCTACAGTGAGAGATCCTTGATGCAAAGAAAGGTGCAGGACTGTGGAAAAAGCCTTCAGTGGTGAAGATGTCTGGAAAGCAGGACAGATTGCCAAAGATAAGTGAAAGCTTCCATTGGAAGTTTTTAGAATAACATCCATCAGGAAGAGCTTAGGTCAAGCTCAGCCTACATGGGTCTTGGGGCACAAATCTCCCACCCTATGAAACAGGGCTGACACTTTCCTTATTCAAGTTTTTTTGTGCAGCAGGTGTCCCAGTTAACCTGCTTTCTATAGCGTGGAACTGATGACTCAGCTCTTCAGAACAAGAGGCTCCGTCTGCAGAGCCTTCCTTCTAGCACATGCAAACAAAAGAGAGCAGCACTTCTTTTGCTGTGCTTCACTATGTTTTGGAACTCACTTGTGATGCTCTCAGAGGCTCCATGCTCCTTTCAGACCTGAAATCCTCACAGCTGCCACAAAGTTTCTAACAAACAAACTCAGAGCTTTCATTTTACACCGGAAACAACAATTATGTGGGAAATCCCCCTCCCACACTCCAGAGTCCATACTTTGGGTAGCTAGAGCTCACCATATACAGCTATATAGGTTCACTGTTGGTTAAGATCTACAATGTAAAAAGTCACTGGGGTAAACTTTTAAGATAAGCATACCAAGCCAGTTCAGATTGAGCCCTCAAATATAAAAATGGCAGCAGAGACTAGGGGACCAAAACAAGCCTTCATTCTCCTCCTACCCTCTTGCTCAACCTCACACTGCCCTACATCAGTAGATACAACCTACCAAGCGTAGAGCTGCTCTCATTCTGCCAGGCCCTGAGTTCTCTGCAGTTGCCTTTCCCAGCTTCTCCATTATCCTGAAGTGGCCTTCTCAGGATGGGAGCTGCTACTATCTGTACAGACACTGCCTCTTGCTATGCCTAAATCTGGTGCTCATCCCTCAAGAGGATGCAGGAGAACCATCTGCCCAGCTCCCTGCTGCAACTCTGGTCTAACACAAGCACTGGTTCATGAAATGAAGTTATAGGCAGGTAACCAAGAAACACAGTAGGGATACACATTCTCCTCAGTTAAGGGTGCAACAGCAAAGGAAATTGCATGGGAAAGGGAAAAAAATTGCAGTTCTCTTTTTCAAATACTTTCCAAAGGAAAAGCAGAACGAAGGGGATCCATAAGCTTCCTCTTCCATTTTCTCCCTGAGGAAGCTTTTCCAACTCCACTATCCAGATGGCACAAGAACAAAGAACCAAGTCATCTTTCAGCAGATACATGTATAGGTATGGTTAAAAACCCAGTGAATTAACTTCTAATATGAGAATGCTTAATATGCCTTCATAAGCCCATTCTCTTTGGCACCTAAAGAGCACAGAGATGACACACGAGACAGTAATGCAGCTGAAACACCACATGCAGAGTCCATACCCTTCTACAACCTGACCTGAATGGCTCCCTGCAAAATTAAGATTGAACCTGCTATCCCATCTCGGGGATGGTGAAGCTGCTTGCTGGGATGTCTGAATCCTTAGCTGTACTGACAGGCACAGGGGCTGCTTCTTGTCCTAAGTCCAGGCAGCTCCTGCAATGTTTGAACACTACCCTAAAATAGGATTAGACAAGGACTAGGCTGAAGGGAAAACACTACCCCAGAACCCTGATTTTACTGTTTTAGTAACTGGTGAGAGATCCCATGACAGCTGGTGCTCATCTTTCATATTTTTGTGATGCAGAATAGTTCAGAAGACCGGCTACAAGAGATTTTTCCATTTTACTTTGTTTTCTCATCTTCTAATCCAAAGTTTCCTCAACGTGTCACACAACTGTTCGTCTTCATGTCCTAACAGTCAACTGTTTCCACTTAAATGAATGGAAAGGACCAACTGCAAGAGAAGCTGGACAAGGCTCATGCAGGCTGAACTCAGAAGGGAAACTACCTCAGGGGGATGGCAAGGGGACAGTTATCACATTCAGAAATAGACACACACAATTTAAAACCAACTCTACACCCTCACATTTATTTTTCTTAAAAAAAAAAACAAAACAAAACAAAAGTCTGCAAACAAATCTCATTCCTCCTTTCCAATTTAGTGGGATTGCTGCAAGCACTCCATGGCACAAGACTCTCGGGAAGCAGAGAAAATGTACCACTTAGCATTACCTCAGTAGTATTTCCATAGGAAAAGCCGACTCCTAACTTACATCTTCCTTGAAGCACAAACATGGGATTTTAAGAAGCATCCCAGCATCAAGTCCAAGGAACAGCACAGCAGCCATCAGGGGCCCGACGTGGCTGCCAGGCTCTAGCAGAGTAGAAGGCCCTCCTTTGCTGCCAGGCGCTGGCGGTGGATCTTATCCTGCTGTAGCTCCTCGTGGTTTGGATGCCACAGTTTCATGACAATTCTCTCAATGTTTAGGGCGTAGACAGTGTGTGCAGGAATAACTTCCTTGTGTACCTAGAGGCGAATTAGAAAGAAAGTTTCACGCTTTCATACTTACTTCCCCACACTGCCCATGGAAGAAACTGCAAGATGATCAGAGCCAGCCCTGCAGAGCAGGAACACAGGCTGTCACACACAAGGAGAGCTGTAACCTACCAGCACAGAACAGTCTGTTACAACACTTTGTAATGGAGTAGCAGGGTAAAGAAATCTTGCTCCAAAAACACACAGAATACAATTCTGCTTGGCCTAACACACAGCCCAGATGCTCAATTACAATTCTTAAAATCTGCCTCCACAGCCTTGAGGTAAAAACCTCAAGGCCTGCTCACAGCAGTAAAGAGCAAGGCAGGAGAGGAGGGGTGGAATCTCCCACAGCTAGCTTCAAATTAGCCTGCTAGGCCCCAGCACTGCCAAAGAGGGACCCACAAACAGGCATCTCTGGAGGAAAATTCACCCACAGCGCCTCTGACACCTCCCCAGGGCTGAGGCACTCATGCATAACCCACTGCAACAGCCAGCAAGCACGATCCAGTATTCTTCTAAGCAGCCACGTGGAACACAGAGGAAAAAGGGATGTGCCAGGCAGGTCACTCTGCTGCACTGCTGTCAAAAGGGGAAGCATTCTTTTGTAGAGATGGCAATTTCCTCATCAACTCTCTGACCAAGGGGGACAGAACGGGCACTAGACCATGAGTTGACTTTGTTACCCGTTCCCTAATAGTGGGAGCAAGTCAAAGCCAAATAAGTTTGAGAGAGAAATAAGGAAACTGACTGTGAGAGGATGAAATCAAACCCCTCTCTGTGCACATAAACCAAATCCAAGAGTGGCAGCTGATACTCAGGACAGCACTGCCCTGGTCACAAAGCGTGATACGAAGAGCTTACCTGTAACGCCTCAAAAAGGTCATACATGTTCACTGGAGGGAGGGATGCTGGCAAAGTATCTCCAGAGCACGCCAGCAGTAGCGCTGCCTGCTGCTCCGCATCATCAGGTGGGGGCTGAGGGGCTACGCTCTGACCAGCAGAAGGTGTCACACAGGCTGGAGGGCTGCAGACAGCAAGCAGTAAAACATTCCAGTCACAAAAGCAGCACTAGCTTTGGTAGTAACACAGCAGGGGCTCAGCCCCAGGGTTTGCTTTTCTGTATTTGTTAATATAGCCTTTGCGTATATGAAATTCTATACACTAAAGTCACTTAACAAATCTCAGTTTAATAAAAACAATGAAAACTGATCTTCAGCCTGCCTCAGACCCGTGTTGTACTCTATTGTGAGCTGGTAACCTTTGCTATTCACAACCAAGTTTCTACCCAGCCTAAAAAATGAAGGCACTCACAACATTCAATTAAGAGACATTAGCTATTAGGCAGAGTTGTTTGGAATGGATTCCATTTGTGGTACCATAACCAAACCTTAGAACACCCACGACCTCCTGTGAAATGCTAGAAGCTCTGTCATGGACAAACAACTGCCTCACCATACACACACACGCTGCCTGACACAGAGCATATGCTGTTTGACACTGAGACTGCAAAACCAGATGAGCTTGAAGCTCTGCAAGTGGAAAGGCCTGCAGAAAAACCATTAATACACGTGGACACAAGAAATGACAGATTGCAGCACCTCAAAGGTCCTCACCTGCATCTCAGCCTTCTGGTACAACAGCAGTGCTCAAACAAAGCTCTGCCCTACTGCTTTCATAGTGTGTGAAAGCTAAACAACACAGTTAGCAGATTCCACTCAGTCAGAAGAAAAACCAAACTGAGTAACTTCAGGACTAGCAAATTACATTTGAAGTTAACAGCATGCTGAAAGCTCTTTACCACTCAATTAAATTGTTGTAAGCAACAACACTGCTCTTCAGCCCAGAGGCCTCCTCCCTGACACCAGAAGAACTCCTGTGTCACTTGCACCAAACAATAATTAATAACATTCAGAGGGCCAGGGGTCACCTTGATAAACTGATAAGGTAGCTAGGAAGAGACTTAACATTGTCCTGAACTCTGCTGCTGAAAAATCCCTACATTCTTCCTCCCTGTTCAGCATACAGCAAATGAAAGCTGAACACCATTAATAGATCCCACTCAGTGTGAATTAAAACTGAACAACAGAGTAACATCAAGACTAGCAAATTACATTTGAAACTAACAGTGTGCTGAAAGCTCCTTACCACTCAATTAAATTGTTATAAGCAACAACACTGTTCTTCAGATATGGCTGAGGATTGACATTGCTTCCAAAGGCATACTTGAAGTGGCCATCTCTCAGCCGATAGGCTTTTCGTCTGGATATCACAGATGTCAGAATGTCCTTAAGGTGGTTCTGGAATTGAAAACATTCTTGTTAAGCATGCTGATTAACTCATCCTACCAAACTACAGCTCAGAGAAGTGCAGACTGACAAGTTCTGCCATAACCACAGGGACCTAAAGACAACATGTGGGCAGGCAGAGTGTTTTCACTTAACCACCTGATACAAGCTGGAAACAAAGAACGTGGCTCTGCATTTTAAAGCAGAGTTTACAGGCTAATATATGATGTGCTACTTCAAATGTCACAGAGAGTTTTCTTAAATACTAGGAAATTCCCAGCCTGATCCCTTTCAAGAGCTTTTATAGCTTGCACTCTATGTGCTCGTACTGAAATATTGACTCTAGAACTACTATGAAAGGCCATGCATTTTTTTTTCAAGCTGTTGATGTGTCTGGAAGCTGCTGGAGAAACAGCTGTCTGGAACTGCTTCCTAGCATGACCTCACTCCCAGACAGGGAACTGAGGTTGGCATCTGACACCACAGCTTAGGGAAGCAATCCCCAGAGAGCTGACTAACAGCTGCACCACAGGGCCTGAATGGGAGACGCCTGGTAACAATGCTGCTGGCCAACAGCTCCAGCAGGCAGTTCATGCAAATACTGTCTGACTCTGCTACTTCCAGGCCAGATACCTTCACATGTAACAGGTTTATTTTAAACAAACTCCTTAAGAAGATGCCATTCTCTTTTCAATGGTGGGAACAGCATTTTCCAAACTAGCTACTCAAGTGTACCTAGTGCTCTTTGTAAGCGAGCACCTCTCATACTTAACCCTCACAACCACAAATCCAATATGTTACCATCTCCGAGGGCACAAACCCCTCTGATTCCAACCTTACTCTTCCTGAGGCAGGTGGGCAATCAAAGCAGCACAACCCCTCTCAAGTGAGGGGGGGGCTGTGTGTGCCCTGTACTGCACACAGAGACTTTTGCTGCTGGTGTAATGGGAACCAGGGCTGCACAGCCCAGTCTCACCTCCACAGCATAAACCACAGCTGTCACCGCATCCTCTGTGACGTTGTCCAGCCCGTGCTCATACGCAGTTACAATCATCCTTCCTTCTAGCTGGCCACGCGTGGGAAGCATCATGGTATGGGAACACAGCTTCAGGTCATCATCCTCCTGAGGATCTTTAGCCACAAACTGCTGGGCTCCAGACAATGGATTCTGAGGCTGGAACCGGTGCTGCGATCAACACAATATCAGAGCATAAGATGATGTTAACTTGGTCAGGCTTCAGTTCACCTCGTGAAATATTGCTTGTCAAACTTAAGCACAAACAACCTACAGATCACATAGCAGCAGGACAAAGGGAGCAGTACACCCACTCGTCCCCAGGATACTCCTCTAAAGTCTCAGTGAAATTTCTGGGCTAGGGTTGGTGTCCTTCCACTTAACTACCCATTCTGCAGCACTCTACGCTACCAATACCTCAGGTACCCACCACATTCCGCAGCAAGAAATTCTGCATTTACTCTGTACTGCCCACCTGCTTGGCTCATTCCATTTTCCTGCAAGTCTCCAGTGTGGCCAGTCACAGTCCCTCTTACCTCTGTCCACATTGCAGACTCTACTGGACTTTCACATTTTTCAGTCACTTCCTTCTACGCTGCAGAGTTCTCATCTACTTACTTCTTGTGCAGAAGCTCTTTGATATTAGCTAAAAAAAAATACACCCTATTGTCCACCAACCATACAGTTTCCTACCAAGAATCAACACAGTGATCCTAAGCTTGAGTAAGTGATTCTTACACATCTTAAAAGAATAAGGATTTAAATACAACAGCTTCACCACATTTCAGTTCCAGGTTTTGTACTCTAACCTCCCCACGCACTTCTACTACCCTAAGCAGGGCTGGGCAACTGTGCAATCAGTTTGAGAAGATTACGGCTGATAAGATTATTTCAGAACTGAGGGAGTTACTTAGGGACAAAATATCACCGAACCTGAACTCACACCAGAAGGAAGCACGCTTCCTAACCCACCTGCTCCCACGCTATTCCCAGGCCACACTTTGTGGTGGCTCTGTGGAACTCAGTCCCCAAGCAGAGGAGGAGAAAGGTAGAGAGGAATTGATGTCTGGGCCCAGACACACACTTGGCCAATCCCCAAGCCACAAGGGAACACCACAAAGCTGGCTCACCAAGCACTCACAGGACACCTGCCCTCAGCTCCCCAGCACATAAACCATGGAATAAACACTGCCACGAGGCTCTTATGAGGGATCATAACAAGGACATGCTTGACATATAAACAACGAATACAGAGCAAAGTGGATTTCTCACATCTTGGTTTCAGGAAAGGAAGAGGGGCCTTCTTTATTCAAAGGACAGTGTGGCATTTAACTCAAAGTGAAAAACCAATCCACCCACTAACACTGTGAAAGCACGGTGCTCTCACAGTAATTTGGAGGACTTAAGCTTTCATTACAGGAAACCTTCGTGTGTGGAAGGGGAAATATAAAAAAAAGTGACCTTCCAAGTGTAAGCACTTGTAAGAGGAATGTATTTTGGGAAACCAGAAACCAACTGGAATTAATCTGTAGTCATTTCCACAGTTGCTCTGATCAGTGAGGAGACATCAAGGCACTTACTCCTAAGTTCACACTACTGCAGCATTACACTACTAAGACACAAACCTCTTAAAATACACCTTATGTAATATTTGCTATAAGACATTCCAGTAACAACTCCTATACTTGCATAAATACGCAATAAAAATGCAGTGTAACATAGGGGTGTTCAAGCAAAACAAATTCCAAGACTTGCACAAGTGGATTCTCCTCCACTTGCTGCTGAAAAGCCACAGGGAAGTTCGAAAACAAAAGATAACATGGATTGCCATCTCTATTCAGGCCACAGCTGTGAAAAATATTTTCACAGCTTCTAAATACAATGAGCCTTCAGCTGGACTTGCAGCCCTCCGAAACACTGGTCTCTAAAGCATGCACATAAAGCCCAAATATTGCACTAGAGGTGTGAGGTGCACTTTGGCTGAGCCAAGCTAACTTCTCACAGTGGCGAGAGGCCTCAAATGCCCACCTTTCCCCCTGCACCCAGCTACATGGCTTCCTTGTCTTCTTTTGCACTGACTCTGACACCCATCCAACCACAAGGAACGCTGATCCAACCGAATAAGTCAGCAAGAAAAACCTGGGAGTTTTTATTTGGTTGGTTTGGGGTTTTTTGCTTGGTTAGCTTTCTGCCTTATCAGAGGTGAACTGGATCAACATGCGGTCTAACACTTGACAAAGCCACCTCACAGACACTCTCCCTTTCAGCAAACTTAATTCAGTTCCAACAGACTGATCAAATCCCACCCATAAGACACAGTGCCCCATCCTAGTCCTCCTTCAGACCAGGCACACTGATCCAGAAGCACAGAAAGCTTCAGAACAGATACATGACAGTGTCAAAACAACAGATAGACCCTTTGCTGCAAAGCTAACTACTCCTTGTGCATTTCTACATGTAGAAGGCAGTATCCTTGTTTCAGAACCAAAAATGCTTTGCAATTACACTCTCTGAAAACATTCTGCTTTCTCTTTCTCTTAACCATTCAGACTGCAAAGAACCCTGCAGCTGGAGCAATTCTGCTTGAGCATAACCATGAACTCACTGTTTCTTCAAGAGTTTTACAGATGTGTGAAGATTACAGAGAATGTGGAAGATGAACAAGCAAATGAAAGATGTATCTAAGAGTGACCACAGAGCTACTCTGTTAGTTCCTGAAATACAAGCAGCAGCAGCTCCCAGCTCTTGGGACACACATCATCAATAGGGCGTGACTTCAGCACTCTTGGCAGTAAGAAGAACAATATGCTGTGCACAGCAGTTCACCCTCACAGAATTTCAGTAACCCAGGACCATTTGGCTGCAGACGCTTACATCAAACTTCTGCCGCACTGACGAAATCTTTTTCTTCCCTTTGGGTTTTCCAGGTTTGGTTGCGGAGCCACCTGGCCACGGCAGAGATCCAGCACCTTCTGTAAATTGCAAAAAAGAAAGTTTGACAAGCTTCACTGATTTAGGGCCAGGATGACACAGCACACAGAAAAGCCCCTCACATTTAGCCCCCAGTTTAGCCACAACTCCAGACCAAGAGCCACAAGCCAGAGGAAGCACTTCTTGCGCTGCACTCCTCTGGGAGAGCCCGTAGCTCTGAGCTGCACCTCACAAACCCTAACCCCCTGGCTGTACCATAACCCAAACCCAACAGTCTTGGCCCAAAGAGGAGTTCTTTGGGAAAAATGCTTTCAAACAGCCTTCCCCTTCATTGGCTTTTGCTAGGCTGATGCACTCACGACCTTCACACAACCAAAATCAATGGTGGTAGCCTCCAAGTCAAGTCACAAGGAAGGAACAAGCCATTTGTTCCACCGGTCTCTGTGGACCAGCTCCAGACAGATGCTAACTAGCAGGACAGAGCCATCCAGTCTATCTGCCTTTACAGCTTCCCATCAGCTCCAGCAAACCTTGTCTTGGACTCTTGTTAAACGTCAAGGCTGTTCATGTCATGTCAAGTTCATGTCATACTGAAGGGGAAAGGAGAGACTGCAAAGGCTGTTGTGTCCAGGAGTAGGACAACACCTGTGTGGAATGGTGATGGCAATTACACATAACATGCAGCAGCACTTATACCTAACATGAGAATGGCCCAGAAACACACCATATGCTGTTCGATGGGAAAAGCCACAGCAGGTCAAACCACATCCCAAATAAATCACACAGCTCTTGGCAAGGACAGCCTTGCCAGGCTCCCACAGACAGGTTTACAGGATCTGCATGCTATTCCTTTGGCTGCATAAGAAAACCTTGCACTGGACGTCCACGTGCTCACTGATAGAAAAAAAAAGTAGTTCTTCCTGCAACCAAAAGCCTGGACAGCCCTCTTGTGGCTACAGCAGCAGCCTTTGCATTCAGTCAGCAGTGCTCTCCCTCAATTCTGCAAATTGAACACCATCTTTTCCTCTTGAGCTGTGAGCAAAGCATGCCCTATGGTGGAATCCCTGCCCAGCTCCAGGAGCTCAGACCACTCAGCTCAGACACAGAGGGCTGCTGCCAAGTAGAGCCATAGCCACACCAAGGGCCTCACATGCCATTCCCTCACTAAGCACAGAAGGCACAGCAGCCATCCCACAGCTGGCCAACCGCAGGCACATTTGCTGACCACAGCAAACCCAGCCAGTTCCCGTTCTCTCCCAGCCTCACACCAGCCTTGGGCTCTTGTGACTGTGGTTAATTAGCTGTTTTCAGGAACTCAGACATACGACCAAACGATAGGTCTGGTTACAGAGAACATGGCAAACTAAATTCCTTGGCTACGTGCAGCTTCACATACTCATCACTGGAGCAAGAATACAGGGTTCTCTGATAGGACTTGAAGGATCAGACTAAACAGTGTTCAGATGAATGCTCAGCTGTTAAGATGAGGTTAGAAGCAACCTACACAGAGATGGCACATTATCCCTCTTGAAGCTTATCTACACCCTACCAGTGAGCTGAAAAATCAACACTCTACAACAAAACTTGTGGAAATCCAGCCATCAAGCGTGGGGTAACTAAAAAGTAATAAAGATATTCTCTCCAGAAATCAATACTGGTGTCACTATTCATTACCACTACATTGCACTAGAGAACCTATCAAAGGGGAAGCTGGGAAAACACCACCAGCAATCATGTCAAGGACCACTCTCTCCCTCCATCAAAATCTCAGAGCTTACATTGTAGGATCCATCAGAGGTGATGCTTCTGCTCTCACAAGATGCTTTGCTTGCTCTTTACAGCCAAGTCACTCCCCCCCTTAGAATTCATAGAACGGTTTGCATTGGAAGGGTCTTCAAAGATCACCCCCCCCCCGTTCAGGCTGCCCAGGGCCCATCCATGGCCTGGGGCACCCACAGCTCTGGGCAGCAGAGCTCACTGCTCTGAATGAAACACTTCCCCCTGACATCTAATCTGGATCTCCTCTCTTTTAGTTTCAAGCCATTCCCCCTTGCCCTATCACTATCCACCCATATAAAAAGTTACTCTCCCTCATGTCTATAAACTCCCTCTAAGGACTTGAGGGCCACAATGAGATCTTCCCAGCACCTTCTCTCTGCCAGGCTGAATAAGCCCACCTCCCTCAGCCTGTCTTCGTAGGAGAGATCTGTAAGCAGGTCAAAGCCCCTGCACAGGAGGGGAGGCTGGTTGTGCTAAGGACAGACAACTGCGCTTTCGACCTTTCCCCACTCCACAGCCCTTCCTACTCACACACAGGCCCCACTGATGCAACATATTCACAATCTGTGCACTTAAAACCTCAGCTTAGAAAAACAGAAAGGCAAAATACTATTTCCTATCCCCTATTACCAAGAGCCTAGGGCAGAATTATTCTGGCTCCTTTTCTAGGTTTCCATATTAACAAGCCTAACTAGCGCTAGATGAAGAAAGCAAAATTTCCCTCCAGTATTCTAAGAAAAGCAGCATATGCCTTCCTGGCCACAAACATCAAAGCTGGGTTGGTTCAGCCACCAAGTTTCAGATACGTTCGCATCTTTTATTTAATCTTGATAGCAGGAGAATCAGTGTTAGCAAGCTGCAGCACCGGCTGCTGATGTGCCTTCAGAGATAAGCAGCAGTAGCCAAGCTCTCTTTACAAGATGCCAGGACTCTGCAGTGACACTGCCAGGCAGGGCAGTGTAAGTCAGGTACTCCCAATGCACTGCAGCAGCACAGCACAGGAGGAAAGGACAGAGACACAAGGCCACAACTGGGCCCAGCAGACAGGCATGGGAAACATCCATCCCCCTTTTCCCATTCTCCTCTGATTGTCAGGGTATGGTTTTCTGCGTTTTGTCTGTTTCAAGACCTTCCTGCAGGGACAGGGGTTGAGTCAACTACATTCCAATGACCTCTGGTATTTTCAATTCCATTCCAATTCCTCTGGTAACACCTCACACTCCTGTTCTCTTCCTTCTCCTCCCTCTTCAACTCTCTGGAGAGAAGTGGAACACAATGTGGCAACCCTTCAAGCAAAGCTAGGGGGAAGCCCCCAACATTATATAAGTTCCTGCTATCCCAGCAAGAGTTCTAATTCTCTGAACCATCTCTTCATTGGCTCAAGATGACCATTAAATAAATGAAATGCTTTCATCACTAACTCAAGTGCTTACAATTGTTAAAGTTTCTCCTAGTTACCATTTAGCTAAGAAACAAGGTAACAGTTCAAGTGAGCTACGTATTAACTCAAGGAATCTGGCCAACCTGACTGCTTGTATTCAACCATCAACCAACAAGGCAGCTCAGCAAAGAAGTTCAAACAGCATAAGGAAAGGCTTTAAACAGGATTTCCCCTGAGAGAGGGAAAAAATTACATAAAAGCACTTCTGAAAATGCTGGCAAAGATCAGCAAAGAAAACAGTCTCTCACACCACTTACATCAGACTTAGGATCCTCAGGGTCCTGGGGGACCTCAGTGGGAGCTGAGGAACCAAAAGCCCCGATCAGTCCTGCCATCCAAGTAGCATGAGCCTTCCTCTCACCCCACCACCAGGTCCCAAATGTCCTTAACTGGGATTTGAAATCTGCATGCCCATTAGAGTGAGGAGGTGCAAGTTGTAAGTATTGATCCCATCGGCCACTGTGCACCTGTAAGGCCAGGTGGAACCACTAATCAGAAAGAACATTGGGAACAGATGGGTTGTTTGCTTTCTTCAGCTGTTAGTCTCTCATTTGAAATACCCCCTGCAAGGCTCCCTACCCCAAATGCCACAATCCAGTGTAGCACCAACCATACAAGTTGTTTTTTAAAAGATGACAGTTTAAAAATGTTTATTTCCCTCTTGTCCCACTTACATGAAGGTGGAAAGCACACGCATCAGCCTTTGTGGCAGCACACCAAGTGCCTCAAGCACACTTGTACCAAGTATTTGTTTCCATAAACTATTTAGAGAACACTTTTTACTCAAAGCACAGCACTGGAGGTGCCCTGTTAGCGTCCCATTCTCACAGGGACAAAAACCAGCAGGTGGCAGGTTGGAAGCTAGGGGAAAGTGATAGAAGGGAAAAGCGAACCGAAGCATAACATCAAGTACTCTGTTTGTACTACACCTCTGTGTCTGGACATAGAAGCCACTGCACCACACACAGCAGACTGGCAAACAAAATGCTCACGCAACAGATCTGCCAGAGGGCAAGATGCAGGCGTCTCCATGCAGGTTAGCTCCAGGTCCCTGGAACAGGCTGCACACTGGTCCAAGCTGGGAACAACAAAAACCCACAAAGCTGCAAGAGACCACCAACATGCAGCATCACCTGCAGAGCACAAAGCCATTCCTCTAGGAACACACATGACCAAACCGAGCTTATTCAAGCTGGCTTGTGCAGATCTGCTCAATGAGTTTGCCTGGAAGCATAGCCACCACATGCTAAGCATGGCTAACTACCACTCAGTTACACACCCTCACTGACCCACAGAAACAGGCTCCTCAAGGGCTCTGAAACAGCTTCAGCTCCACTGGGACAAGAGAGCCCTTGCAAGTACTTGAAATTAAGAGACTGAAGTGGGAAATAATGAGCACATGAAAGGCACTTGTGAAGCACCAGCCCCATTGCAAAGCAGTGTAATACTTAACCCATTCCTAGACGGCTCTGAGAAAAGGTAATAATTTTTCCCAGACTGCCAAGTCTGAGCTATTCAAGCCAGTAAAGTCTGCCCAAACAACTGCAGAAATGCTGCACAGCCTTGTGACTGGACAAAGTAACAAGTGGAAGTCCACAAAGACCAGCACAGCAGTGCAGACAGAAATGAATAACCCCAACTTCAGCCACCCAGCAGTGCCACTGCTGCCATCCAAAACCAAGACCTTGGGTTATGACCCAGCACTCAGAAAAAGCCAACCAAGCCCCAGCCAGAGCAAACACTGATTCACCTTTACATAAAACTGAAATGTTCCTGACCCTGAACAGAACCAGCAGCTTTCCCCCCTCGCGAGCTCAGACCCAGCCACTTCAGGTACTTCCCACAGAGAAAAAACTGCTTCCTCGGACCTTAGCTCACCACAGCTGCAATGATTTTCTCTCCATTACCACACAGCAGCTTCATATCTTAAATTGCAACTTGATTGTCCTTCATATCATATCTCTACATTGACAGTTATTTTGAAGATCAAGCAGAAAATAGCTTGCCAGTCTGACAACAGCCATTCAGAATGCTTACACAGTTAAAGAAGTTTAATATCAAAGGGGCAGGAGGTTGGACTAATTGACCATAGCTCAGTTAAGAGTTGGCTAGAAGCATTCAGTAAGCACTTTTCTAGCAGATACACACTTGACTTCAAGGTCAGTCAGGAAAACCCAGCTCCTCAAGACGTTATTCCCAAGATACCAAGGAACAAAGAGGGCACCACCCAGATCAGAACACAAAGGAAACAGCAAGCAGAGCAGTTCAAACACAAAGCAGCATCTCCCATTAACTTCACTTCTCAGCACTCATGGCCCAACAGACACCCAGTCTAGAAATCAAACTTACCACAAACAGCAACCCAGCACATCAGCCTCTAGCAGAGCAAATGCAGTTTTGTTTTTCTGCTCTTAAGAATGTCACACTGAAATCATCTCGCTAACTACCTGGTTACCCTTCTGCCTGCATGGCCAAGGGAACAGGAATATTAAGGCTCAGCAAACAGAACAGCCACATACGAAGCCCAAACGCATGTGCCAAAGCTTTACTGATTACTTTTAATGAAACTTGGGACTCACCTGGTGCAGAAACCAAGATCTGGCATCGGGTAAGGATGGCCAGGAGAAAGTCGTTGTGTGAGTGGACTGCATGAAGACAGATAGCTCATTAGGAACATGTTGGTGGTCATAGGCACTGGCTCAAAGTAGGTCTCTGTGTCTCCCCACAGCCATGTTTTCACCATTCACTTAGCTGAAAGTCACAACTTCCCAATATAAAGAGTTTTTTTAAGAGATTTTTTTGTTGTTGTTTTTTTTTTCCCCCCTTCACTTAACCCTGAACCTGCTACTAGAAAGAATACGACACAGCACAGGTGCAAGCTGGATTGCTTCTCAGCATACCATGCAGCAATCCAGCCCTAGAGCACGGTGCATGGCAAGTCAGGTGCACTCAGCCAGCAACAAGGAGTCCTGGTTGTCCTCCCTCCCATGCACCTTCTGGCAGTGAGGCTTTGGGTATGCTTTAAAAAAGAAAAAGTTAAAATGCAGGAGAGCCAGCACTAAGCATGGAGTACTCAGTACTGGAGAGACATGAACCTGCTGGAGCACATCCAGAGGAGGGCCACAAAAATGACCCTAGGGATGGAACATCTCCACACAAGGAGGGGCTGACAGCTGGGGCTGCTCAGCATGGAGAGAAAGCTGTGGGGGGACCTGAGAGCTGCCTGCTGGTATCTACAGTGGGGCTGTAAGAAACACGGGACTGACTCTTTAGCAGGGCCTGCTGTGACAGGACAAAGGGACTGAAAGAAGGGATATCTGGGTTAGATCGAAGGAAGACATGTCCTGCTGTAAGAGCAGTGAGGCACGGCACAGGCTGCCCACAGCTGGCGGTGCCCCATCTCTGCAGACACCGAGATCAGGCCGGATAGGCTCCCAGCACCGACGGAGCCGTGGCATCCCCGTGCGCGGCAGGGCAGCGGGACCAGCTGGCCTTTAACCACCAGCGAGGAGAGCCGCACTGAGGGCCGCGCCCAGCGGCGCGAGACGGGCTGCCCCACCGAGGCCCACCGTTACCGTTGTCCTGGGTGAGCAGCCGCCGCGCCTCCAGGTCAAACTCCTCCTTGCTGATCTTCTGCTTGAACCAGAGCTTCAGGTTGGCCCAGTACCTGCGAGAGAGAGGGGCGGTGCTGTGACGGCGTCGCCGCGGGCGAGGCCGAGGCTCGGGGCCGCGCGGTAAGACGCTCACTGCTTCACATTCTCGCCCAGCGCCTCGCTCAGGCTTTTCTTGGCCGCCTCCAGCTCGCTCACGTACGTCGCCATCGCCGCGGAGCACGGGGACGCGGAGGCCGCGAAGCGTCGTAAAGCGCGGCGCTCCGTTACGTCAGGGGAGGGGCGACGGGTGTGCGCAGGCGCGGAGGTCACGCCCCCCCCCCCCCCCCCGGCGAGCCGAGCGGGGCCGAGCAGAGCCGAACGGGTGCCGAGCGGTGCGCTGCTCTCCACTATGCCGGGCCTGCTGCTGGGCGACGAGGCGCCCAACTTCGAGGCGGACACCACGCAGGGCCCCATCCGCTTCCACGACTTCCTGGGCGACTCGTGAGCGGCGGGGGCACGGCCGGGGCGAGAACCGGCGTCGGAGAGGGGCGGGGCGGTGGGCCCGGGCTTCCCGAGCGGCATTGTCGGCCCAGAGGTCCGGCCGTGTGTCACCGACGTGCGCGGCAAAACGCGGCTCCCGGAGGCGGAGGGCGCCGGGCGGATCCGAGCCCGCTCGGTTCACATCCCGAAGTGGGACGAGGGGGGGGTAAAACGATGAGCTTGGTTTTCGGAACCGATAGCCTTGTCCTCACGCCGTCCCCTGCTCTCCTCTTTCAGATGGGGCATCCTCTTCTCCCATCCGCGGGACTTCACACCCGTCTGCACCACGGAGCTGGGCCGGGCGGCCAAGCTGGCACCCGAGTTCAGCAAACGCAACGTGAAGATGATCGCCCTCTCCATTGACAGCGTCCCCGACCACCTCGCCTGGAGCAAGGTAGGGGTGCCTGGAGCAAGGTAGCGGTGCCTGCAGCACTGCGGCTGTGCTCTGAAGGCCAAAGGAAAAGTTCAGTCACGGGAGAGCTGTGAGCTGCAACTCTATGGCAGTGCCAGAAGGTCGGAGGATGTGTTAAAACAGGAAAGATGTCAGCGTTGGTGGCTGGGCTTAGTGGTCCCTTCTGATCTTAGTGGCTCTGTGATTCAAACTGGCAGTCTTAAAAGGGTGCAGCTCGTAGAATCAATCTTAGAACCCTTAGAGTTGGAAGGGATAGGGTTGCCCAGGGCATTATCCAGCCTCACCTTGAAAGTCTGCAGGAACGGGGTACCAACCACATCACTAGGGCTAACACATCACTTGTGTCCAGGCAGAGGAAAGTACACAACGAACAAGCAGTGACACGTTGAATATAAAAGTACAAATAAGAGCACGTCAAATATGAAATGCTTATAGGGAAATAGAAGAATGGTGGCACAGAAGTAGCTTATTTAAGGAATAGAAAAGCTGCTAATGGAAAACTTCAAAGGCAGTGTCAACAGGGGTGTTGTTGACACTGTCATGCTGCCAGGTAGCATGACTCCACATATTAGGGATATAAAATGAGTACTGAGACTTAGTGGACAGAGTACAAGAATCCCTGAGTGAGTTATCTGCTTCTTTCTTCACTCTTAAAAGTGGGAATGTTCTGTCACGTTTTCCAGGAGTCAGATGTATGCAAATAAGAAGTAATAAAGGTGAGAAATTTCCACATTCAAACATTACTTCATGTCTGAATGGCTTTAGAAATTGCCTAATTGCCTTAATGCTTAAATTGACCTTTGTGCCTGAGTGGTGCATAGCTGATGTCCCACCAAGCCTCAGAAGGGCCTGGGAAAAACAGCATCAAAATCCTAACCGGTAACTGAGGTCTTTGCACTGGTCAAACTGGCTGAAACCACCATCAAATTAGTCGATAATGTTCCACTAAATGGAACAGAAAGTTTGGGTTGTGTTTTGTAAAGGAGTCTCGTCTCCTGGTTTGTTAGAACCCTTTGAAGACCTGTACAGATGATGCTGACTATTACAAAGCCCTTGGCTTTCCAGGAAGGTTTTCGAGGAAATCAGCTCTGAAAAGGATTTATTATGTAGGGTGATAGGAGGAAACAGTAAGTTGTGTCAAGGAAGGGAAGCAGTGAGCTCCCTAGAGGGGCTGCAGGGATGCGTGGCGTTCACCATACTTGGATGATCTGGGAGAAAGGTGAACAGTGAGCTGGCTTGGTAATGCTACAGAATTATTTAGCATAACCTCAGGTAAAAGAAGTTGCAGAAAAGTTGCAAAACAGCCTCATGATGCTGACGAGACAAAGAATTTGGAAAGGCCTGAGGGCAGTAGTCCAAGCTGCAGCTAATATGCTGCCAGGCTGGGAGAGGCCTGAGAGACAGTCGTTTGGAAATGTCTGCTCGGCACCTGTTGAAAGCAGAACTTTGAAAGTCCTCTGGAGCAAAAGATCAAATTAGTGAGATAAATCCATAGCAGACAGTTTCTGATGTGTTTGAAATTGCTCATCTCACAGATGAGAGAACAAGAAAAGGTGTAGAGGGGGAGCAAAGCTACATGAATAGAGATTTGAGCAGGTTTTCTTTCACTACTGGGGCACTTTTGCATGGGAATGAGAAGATATGTCAGGTTGTGACACAAAGAGTTTAACTAAGTAGGAAGGCAGCTGTTCAGATCTGATGAAGTGCCCCCCCAGAGGTTCTGCCCACCCGTGGAGCATGAACAGAGATGCCATCCTTTGGTGGCAGGTGCAAAAGTGGTCTGCATTGATTGCTAGACTAAGATCTAGAAACTGCAGTTTCCTTCACTAGATATTAGAAATCCCAGGAATGAGCAAAACTTTGGGCAGTTAAACCTCTTCATGTAACATTCCTCTACCTTCCTATACTTTCTTTGTGGATGAAGCTTCCTTCATCTGAAGTACTGCCCAGAAGGAAGCAAATGAGCAGGAGGGAAGGCTGAATTTTGCATGAAACAAGAAAGAAGCCTCTGCTTCCTTTGCTCCCAAATTTCAGTGGGCAGATAGGGCCTGGGAAGTTGATAAACTGGGCTGTCCAGCTCAACTGGCAGCAAAGAGCAGTGCTGTAAAACAGAGTAGCCATAGCTGTCACACCAATTTGCTTAACTCTACTTTATCAGCCAAAGATGTCACTGCTCTTAGTCACGCCTCTCCCAGACCCAGGGGCTTGCTCCTCTCATAACAAGCCAGCAGTAGATCCTGCTCTGCTGTCCCCCATGGTCCGTGTGCTGCTTCTCCAAGACCTGGCTGAATAGATGAGTCCCTCGAGAAGGACTAACATGGCATCTGCCCCCACAGCAGCAGGTCTGTGGCAGGCAGAGAGATGGTCACCTGAAAAGCCAGTGTTTGTTGCAGGGTTGTCTGGCTTGTACTGAGCGTGTCGGAGGAGGTTTCAGCATTCTCTTAGATCACTGATGAGTAAGGTGAATAAATCACTCTAGTGATGTCTGCTTTCAGCTTGGACTCTGGAAGGTTTACAGGGAAGTGAGTAAGTCTTATGTGTCCTGTTGCAAAATAGGGTGGGGTGTATGAAGCCATTTGTACAGTGATTTCCTGCGACATGATATTACGTGTGTTTTGGAATGAATTACAAGCTATAGGATTTGGATCTTGCTTTTCAGCAATCTTCATCTGTCAGTCTGGAGAGAAGGTGCGTGTTTGTCATGGTCTGGCTTTCCTCAACAGCCTCCTGCAGCTCCACGGGATGTTCAGAGATGGCCTGGTCTCTTGTCTTGGCTTTCCTTCTCTGCTTTGCTTTGACAAGGCAGCTCTGCAGGAGTAGGGAGCCAGTTCCTTCCCAAAGCAGGCCTGCACACAGCCCAGCAGAGGTGAACAGCCCCTTTGTGCAGTTCATTGCTGACTCACTGGTGTGGGGAGAAAGCAAGCAGAGAGAAACACTGCAAATGTTTCCTGCCACGTGTGTACCACTTGACTGCTTGCAGCATCCTGAGCAGCTGGGGCAGCTCCTGACTGCACCTCCTGCAGCATAGGGGTGCTGAGGGCCAGCACATGGCCTGTTTGCTCTCACTACCTTCAGCACACTGAGCAGGGGTAGGCATTACTCATGGTCATGTTTCCAACTCTGCCTTCCCCGCATTCCACCTGAGCAGGACTGAGTCTGTTCCCCATGTTTAAAGCCCAGAGAAAACAGAAGTTTGTACGTACACAGCTGATACCATACCACTTTGGTGTGTAGGAGGCTGCTGTAATTGCTTGAGTCCAGTTTGTTCCCCTGTAATATAAAGAGGACAGAAAGAACAGGCGGCTCTATTCTGGGGCAGAAACCTTGGATTAAATTTGCTTTCATGCTGGCTGCTGCTCTGCTTGTGTTGCCTTGAGTGGGCTTTTCCCAGCCCTCCTGTGGCTCAGCACTTGTCCAAAAATAACTTGAATGTTTTGGCCAAAGCCAGATCAGATTCAGAGATGATCAAAATACAGTTTCTGTGTGAAGCGCATCAAGTTAGAACTGGTGCAGGGAGCAATCTCATAAGCTGGTCGCAAGGAGAGTGTACGCAGGTGATGGTTTACTTCCTCTGTCTCCAGGCACAGTTCAGAAAGAAACACGTGGTGTCCCAGCACATGCACAGAGATTACACTTTGTTCTCAGGAACTGTTAAGTAAGCTAAGAGTGGCTTACTGAAAGGAGCTGGTTCCTTGCTCAAGACCTGTCACATGTTCAGCATATGAGCTTTGTTGGCTGTAGAGTTGCTGACAGCTCTGCAGTTAGAAGAATTGTTCCTTAGAAGCATGGTTCAGTTCAGGTGTCACTCCAGCACATTCGTCAGAAGTTTGGAATGCTGAACTGAAAGGGACACGTCCATTCTCAGAGCAAGGTGGAAGAATCCCGTGTCACCAGTGGGTGCATGTTTGTGTGGCCCCTCTGCAGCAGTCTGCTCCGGATACACCAGGTCTGCCTGCATGGCAGACCCAGGTCAGACCACGTCCAACCCATGGTGGGAGCATAACCCTAAGCATTCCAATGATCTTGTCTCTGCAGGACATCAATGCGTACAATGGAGATCAACCTGTGGAGAAGCTCCCCTTCCCCATCATTGCTGATAAGAACCGAGAGCTCGCCGTCAAGCTGGGCATGCTGGACCCAGATGAGCGGGACAAGGACGGCATGCCCCTGACTGCTCGTGTGGTGAGCTTGTGGCTTTAGAGCACTGTTGCTTGGCAGGCTGCTCAGCAGCAGGCATTACCTGCCATCCTGCCCTCTGTCCCTGGGGGGAGCAGCTTACGTGCACAGACAGGACCATCCTGGGAGCTCGGTTG